CAGTTCAATAAAATTGTAAAATATGTTTTGTAATTTTCTTAAACTGAGTTGAAATGAATTGTATAGTGTAATTACAATACACCATTTTAAAATTACTAAACATATTTAGTATTTTTTTAGCAAAATTACAATACTATGGTAATGTTACTAAACAAATTTTTAATAAATGCTTAGTGAGTTTCAACAAACGTTTTGTAATTTTTCAAAATTGAGTTGTAATAAATCGTGTAGTGAATTTACAAAACTGAGTTTTATTATTAATATATTGTGGTGCTTAAAAACTTTGTAACAGAGTTATTGTAAATTTTGCAATTATTATTCTAGATTTTTGAGACCTATTATTATAATTAAATAGTATTTTATTATGGTTATCAAAAGCCACAAAAAAACTACTATAAATATTGTAAAATTTACAATTATTACAATAATTTTTTCAGTAGCAAAATACTATAAAATTAATTTTATTAATAATAATGCTAAAGTTCTTACTTAAATGTAGGTATAGCTACCACAAATAACATAGGCGTATAAATGCAAAACACAGAAAATAAAATCTTCCTCCATCAGGACATTTGTTGCACTATCGAAGTAAATGCATATATGTCGATGCACCGTAAACGAAAAGCTTGAAATGTGCTCCTAATACGTGTATGTAATTGGTTGACACATGTAAGGTGATGCGATATGGTGCCAAAACAATATATTCAAAGTAGTCAGCTAAGATATTTACCATTTAGAAATAAACTTTAAAGTTTTTACATGTGTTAAATCAATGCATTTTATTTTCCCACACGAATTTCAAATCATTATAAGAGTTTTGTCAATTAACCGAAATACATGGACATCTGTTCAGTGAACACGCATATTTTATTTTAGTTTAAGTAAATTATTGTGTTAGAGCGAAAACAAAATTATTTTGAATTTGCTTCAACATTTCTATTCGTTTGACTTTTTAAATCTTCAATCGAGAACTAATTAAATATAAAAATGCATTAGTGAACATTGCTATTTTCCGCGACTGTACCTCGGTTCAGCTGGTTAACTGGGATGAAAATGATTTGTGACCGGACGCAGATATAATTAAATTTTCGCGAATTCTGAGCAAAATTAATGGCAAATCGATAATCTAATTAATAGCGGCTAGTTGGCTGGTTAAACACAGCATCTAGTACGTAGGTACGAAACAATGAAACAACGTAAAATAAAGTGAAAGTTCAAGAGGTATAATTCACGGTTTTCTACAATAATTTTGCATTGGAAAGTTACTGCAGCCTGAGTTTTTTATCCAAACGTTGCATCAACGCGAAATACGAGTAGGAGGAATTAATAACCTAAAAAATATTTTACAAATTTTCAAAAAGTGATGATTTTTTGGTACTTACTGATGTAAGGGTCCCCAAAGATAATTTAGAAAACCCCCCACTGGTTAAATTTAACGGTTTTTTACTTTTCTCCATGATAATTAACAACATTTTTTTAACATTGTTGTCACAATCTATCCAGTTTGAATTATAACATGAATCCCTTATACAAGTACTCTAAAACCATTTTTCCAAATTTAAAAATAAAATTTAAATAAAGAATCACTACAAATACCCTAAAGAAGTATCAATTCAGTAAAAATCGTCAAACAAATTAGTCGTCTAAATTTAAACAGCATTTAGCATTATTAAAAGCGTTGATTAAGAAAGTCTCCACTCAACGGTAAAATACCATTATATTATGTATTATATATAATATTATGTTGCCATGAATTCGTAGGTATATTTTGTTGTTTAAAATGCAGTTGTCGGCGTTTTTTAGAGAACTCAAACATAAAAATGGTTGATTTTAAGGTTATGTTTGTGGAAAAATTATTTTTTACTAATTTCTTAAAAATGTCCAAACTTAAATATAAATTATATTAGGTAAAGTTATCGTTAGTTAATTCTGCACCAACAAATGTACTTCTGCCTTTTTTTGTGAAAAAACTACGTATTTATTTAAAAATTATGTATAATCTGTGTTTTAAATGTATTGTTGACAATTCTTAAATTCACGCAATGCTTATGAAGTCCACCAGATGGCGCGCGCGTTGCGAAAACCCGATACTTCTTTACCCCCTTGCTACGTCCCTGGATCTACTTAACAAAAAACTTACTTTCAAAATAATCTGATTTCCATTATAGCAATAAATGCTCAGCTGCGTTAGCATAGCCGTCAAAAATGAGCACATAACCAAAAAATTAATGCTATACAGGCTAACATGAACCAATTGAAAACCAATATTGCATATAACACCGATGCTTGTCAAATATTGAACTAAAACTATTTTCGAGAATAGTTCCTCTATGGTTTCTATAAACTCCACTATTTTGCTGTGATGTTTTATGCAGTTCTTTAGGGTGTCGGTGGAGTTCTTTTCCATGCAGTTTTTGAGGTTATGGTTTAATATGTCGAGTTGCAACGAGGCTATGTTCATTAGGGTGTAAGCTAAGACGTCAAGGCATGAGTTGACTAGAGCTGCGTTAAATAATCCTAAAATAATTTTTTTTTCAAATTGATTTAGTCGTTAAAACTTACCTAGAACTTGTAGAATGTATAATAAATACTCCCATTGTCCGATTTCGTAGGAAAACTTTATGGGTAAATTATGGGTGAATATGGGTTTTAAAAACCCATAACTTGATACCACGAAGAGGCAAGTCCATTGGTAAATATTGCTTAAATACTTCGAGGATTCAATACTTTTGTTTATTTTAGTTTCGCACTTTTTTGGATATTCATTGAAGTGGTTACATTGTAGTTGGTCCAAAATTTCGAATATTAAATTGTGGTTCATCCAGAAAATTATAAGTTTTAGAAGGAAAGATGTTGGTGGTATTAGTATTGATAATAAATCTGTTGTTTCGGTTATTGTGCTACAATTTTTCAACTCCAAAATCATGCTAACCTCAAAAGCAATTTCAATAGCAAACGATATAATGTATTTGGAAAAATTTAACACTCTAAAATCATTACGTGGCCAATGCCCTGTCAAGCTTAGATAATATTTTGGTATTTCAACAGAATTCACCATATTTTCTCTCGCCATATTCAACTATAATAATAGACTGTAAATTATAATAGTGCAAACACAATTTATATAATCTCTAAACAAAGATAATTTGTAGTCTACACTATTTCGGCTAGACGTATCTTTAATTTTTTCTAACTTTATAATAACCGCTAATCAAGCAATTAAAATTCAAATTTTAAAGGCGAGAATAATGGAAAGTACAGCATAAAAGATAATTAATTGAGAATTCTTACGTAAAACTAGAATAGTGAACTTTCCAACGCAGTTTTCTTTAACTCAATTATAAGCCTGCTTAGGCAATAGAATTTATGAATTCGTTATGCTATTGTTAATGGGCTTACGGATTTCCTTTAATATTAAAAATAAAAAGGTATCAAATTTTTATATATTAAAAATAAATTTAATGAAAAACACGTTTTTTAGTGGCCATATTGGATTTAATATGACGGTTTTTTCCTTTTCGGCTGAAGTTTATATCTCTATAATAATTGTTTCACTGTTAAAAATTTCAATTGTAATTTTGTTGAAATTCACTAAGCATTTATTAAAAATTTGTTAAGTTACATTACTATACAGGTATTGTAATTTTGCTAAAAAAACTAAATATGTATAGTAATTTTAAAATGGTGTATTGTAATTATACTATACAATTCATTTCGACTCAGTTTAAGAAAATTACAAAATATATTTTACAATTTTACTGAACTGAAGAAAATTTGTTTCGCAATATTGCAATACAAATATTGTTATTTTGTACAACAAATTATACTAAAAATATTTAGTAATTTACGAATGATGGTATTATAATTATACTACAAAAAAAAACCTGCAATTTTCTTAGTTTCTTCAAGAAACTTTCTTGACCCATTACTGTAAAGATTTAAAAAATTGAACCTTCACCTCGCCAGAGTTTTTGTTTTAAGTGCGTTCCACCAACTTCAAATACCGACAGACAACTAGACAGATAGACCTATTTTGGGTCTTATCAATGTCGGGCAATTTGGTGTATTGAAACACACCAAAAATGAAAGACACCTGATCTTATATACTTTCCACCTAAGTCAACCGAGGCGAGATGTAAGAAGATCACGTGATTGCCGCAACCGGTACCTACTATGCATTTTACATAACATTATAGCAAATCAAATTACAAACCAAGTTTGTAAATCTGATATGCTTTTTATTAGAAATCTATCTTAGTAGATTTCCCAACATGTCTTGGAACATTACTACAAAATGTATTATAATTTTTATGTTGGTATACACTGATTTGTAATTTTACTCATCCTTTGTTTTCAAAACAAAAAAAAAGTTATATAGTAAAAATACAAACAGAAGTTGTATAAAATAAATAATGATTTGTATATTTCCATACACTTATTGTAATTCCCTGTATAATAAAATTATTTAAATAAGATATTTCCAACAGAAAAACCTGTTAAATGAAATTTGTACGTAAATTTGTTGAAAATATTGATATTTATCTATTTATTTTTACTGATTTTTAAACTTAATTTTGTTGGTATACCTTAACAAAATCAATGGCAAATAATAATTATTAGTGAACAAAATATCTCTTCGATAATTATATAACGAAAACATTTTTATTGGATATCAAATTGGAAAACTTTCTCAAAGCTTAATTTAAACTTTGCCCCGTTGATTTCCAATAATATTTTCTGATTAATTTCTTATTTTCAATATTCCAGAAACCCTATTACTTATATATTTACAAAACTCTCACAGAATTTACTTCAACCCAAATAACTGGGGCACCTAAATTGTTTAATACAAATTTTCACCCTCCCCTAACGCGATTAACTTTTTTAATAACCACCCTGGGGGGGTAACGAACTGCACTGCATATAGTCCTAATGTGGCTCTGTGCGTGGCCGGGGGATGAAATATAACTCTTTGGGGATATTATGAGCAAATTAGGGAAAAAGAAACATGAAATAAATTTTAACTTTAATAATTATAAAACTATTTTGTCCAGCAATATTTTGGTTTCCAAATCTTCAGGTTTTGTTTTAAGCTCTTGGTAGATTTTATCCATCAACAATCGTCTAAAAAATACGAGGTTTTCAAAGGAAATGTGGGTTATGTAAAATTTACTTTGATTCAAAATCCCCTCCCCTTGGAAGGCCTTCAAAGGGGTGTATAAACTTCAGCTCTTGTAGTAAAGTGTAGTAGTTATTGTTTGGATATCGTAAAATTATATCTGAAAAATAAAAATATTTTTTTATGGAATAACAGGAAATGCCACCACAGAACTTTTCATTCTTTCATATATGACGGAATCAAGCTTTTGGTCCGCCATTATAGCTTCGTGTTGTGGGGTTAGTGCGTTTTGAAACTTAACTATGATGATAGACATGTTATCTCTACTTCCCTGGAAAAAAATCATCAAAAAATATTACCAAAATTGGTAAATTAACCTTATATAAACATGTTTCAACCACATCATTTGCTATTGCTTCCAAATCATCCATCACCAACAGTCTATCGTAGATGTAAAAACAAATTTCCTCATTGGACATGACGTTCCATATACCATCACAAGCCAAAACCATAAACTGATCGTCTGGATGTCTAGGTAACACAAAGATATCTGGTATGTTGGAAACAATATTTTTACCGTCGCTTTTATATGAAAAATCGCCAATCGCTCTACTAACAGCTAGATTGCCATTGACTCTACCCATGGTGACAGTACCACCCGCGTCTTTGATACGGGCCTGCTCTGATGGATCCAAGGGTGTGTGGTCTCTGGTGGCAAAAAAAGGTTGACTATTTCTGCAAAGTACCAGTCGAGAATCGCCGCAGTTGGCCACAACGATCATGGAATCATTTATGAACGATAACACGGCTGTGGAGCCACTTCTATCGGTGGAAGCGAGTCTCAAATCGTTATCCAAACGCACGAAACCCTGCTCTATGACCACGGAGGGGTTGTCCTTGAAATCTCTGTGGTTTACTATGACATCCATAAGGGTTTTTTCGCAGAAACTCGCTGCAAAACCGCCAGCGTGCCCATCAAAAACCGCAAAGTAAGAAAACTCCTTCAAATCGTCATTTACAGATATCTTGGCTACCAACGTATCCTCCATCCTCTCCCTCCAGCCTTGCATAGAGCTGACCCCACAGGAAACCCCGTTGCCGCAGTTTTTACCGCCGGTTTTCTTCCTGTCAGGTTTTTCCAGCAAACCGCCCATTTTAGTTTAACCAAGAAACACTGACAGTTCTCTCATAATGTAATATAATAAGTCACAGTATGTAGTCAGAGTCGAGTTGGGCGAGCGAGTCAATCTATGAATGAAAGGTCTACAACCTGAAGCAGGTCGTAATGGCCTTGAGAAGTTGTCGTACACGTTTTTAAGGGAATCACAGTGAAATGACTCTAAATTGTGGTATGTTACTTTGTTTAATGAACATGGGAACTGAACTTTATGCGCTATAAACGTTTTGTAGGAAAAAAAGGTATACTTTATATTATAATATCTTTATATTATTTCGATAATTTTTAGCAAATACACTACAATACAAGAACTAACCTATACTTATTTGGATAAACTTATTCTTACTTCAAGAAAAACTATCATATTATTTCAAATGCAAGCACCCTCAAATAAAATATACACTATGCTTAATTTAAGAATAAGTATTTTTTGATACAAATGTTATAATTCTTGGCGATACAATATTTACTTTTGGATTAAATATAAGGTATCTTTATGTAAATTAAGCAATAAATGTTTCAAATACTGTCTATTCTTTTTTTTAAGTTTTGCTTGACTTAGTTTAAGGTTAGGATATAATGGCCATGTTTATTTCAAATGATAAAGAGTGGATTATGCTATCTTTTTTTTTTCTTAGACTGATGAGAAAAATGGATAGGATAATCCACTCTTTACCTTTTGAAATAAACATGGTCATTATATCCTAACCATTAAAGTCGAGCAAAAGTTAAAAAAAGAATAGACAATATTTGAAACAATTATTGCTTAACCTGAAAAAAATGATATTGGTCTATACTTACCTTTTTTCAATGTTTCAAATACCTATCTACCTATATACAAATATAATATAATATGCAATGATTTTTTCAAACCTTCAGACACGTTGATTTTGTTTGCGATACGGACATTTTTTGGCTATATTGGCCTGTTTAACCAAAATTTTTATTCGCACCTATAATCTAGAGGTAATATATACATAATTGTTTTTATGTACTCTTCGGCCAACATAATATCACTCCAACATCTAAAATTCAATACCTAATACTACACACATAAATATAATTTTGTAATAATTATTACCTACCTATACATTTGGTGGTTAATTCTATCAAATTCCACTAATTTAGCAGCTCTTTCATAATTTCAAACCAAATATTAAGTAACACAAGAAACAATCTTCCAAAATGTCGGACACTTTCGTGAATGGAGGATATTTTTAAGAATAGCCCAGTCGTACCAATATTTCCTAATCTTAGAATAAATATAATAAATATTTATATCCAGTATAGTTTTATATCTTTAAGAACAGAATAGAGGGAATTTTACAAAATTTGGCCTAATCGATTGTTAAACTAAAATTAAGTATAAGATTATTTCATTTAAAGTCTCTTAACATTTAACAGGCAAGAATAAGATCTGCTGGTTTAAAGAAAGATTAATATTTAGTTTAATGTTAGTTTTAGCCTTGACAATATTAGGCCAATCATCTTGTTTCAACTATAAAATCTTTTTAATTTATAGATAGGTTAATATTTAAAAGAAATTTAATGTATTCGTAGCCTAGACAAATTATACTCAAATCAAGTGAATTTTTTTAAGGATAAAGGTATTCTTACATTTATAAAACATTTGTTCCGTGTATGTACACAATGCTTGAAAAAGATTGTGAAATAGCATATTATAGAAGTAGGCTTTCACAAGATGCAAGATTATAATGACTCGGCAATGAAATCGACCAATAGAATCTGATGTTGTCTACTTGCAATATAGTTAACTTGGTAACGGTTAGGGCTGAAATTGGAACCGTTACAACAGATGTCAGAAAATGGCGTCGTCGAAACTTTAGTAAAACAATCTTAGGTCTATAAATATGTTTATAAAAGTTTTACTACTTCAATGAACGCTTTTTCAAGATAAAAACTCTTCACCGTAAAATTAGTTATAAAAATTATTGATTGATAAACTCGATGGAGCGAATCGAAGCGAATTCTGCAGATGATTTGTCTAATCATAGGCTTCAATACATTCATAAAAAAATCTAAAAGAAAAATAAACTCGTAAAGCGGGTAAAACAAACTTCTGCAAAGCAGATATGTACCTATGTACGTCTCCTGGCTCTACATGCAAATGTATTAGACTTTGAAGTTTCCAAATACAAACTAAAAGGCCAAATGTTAAAGTTTACTTCAAAAAGTGTGATTAAATTTTATACGGGGGTTCTAAATCAAGATAAAATGACCTACCCATACATTTGGTGGTTAATTCTATCAAATTTCACTAATTTAGAAGCTCTTTCATAATTTCAAACCAAATATTAACTAACACAATAAACCATCTTCCAAAATGTCGGACAAGAATAGGCCAGTCGTACCAATTTTTACTAATCTTAGAATAAATATAATTATATTATAATTTTCCAAAATTGGTTTAATCGATTGTTGATCTTAAACTAAGAATAAGATTATTTTATTTAAAGTCTTTCTTAACATTTAACAGGCAAGAATAAGATCTGTTTGTTTAAAGAAAGATTAATATTTAGTTTAATGTTAGTTTTAGTTTTGACAAAATTAGGTCTTGTTTCAACTGTACTTGATTTTAAGCTAAGGAATAAAATCTTTTTAATTTAAGGATAGGTTAATTTTTAAAAGAAATTTAATGTATTTGTAGCCCAAGCAAGTTGTACTTAAATCAAGTGAATTTTTTTTAAGAATAAAGGTATTCTTACCTTTAGAAAAAACTAATCCGTGTAGTATATGATATATCATTCCCTTAAAGGATGACACCCTGTATATATATATATGTATATAAAAGGGTGCATATAGAGTGCGAATCGCTCAAATAGGACCACATCCCACTGAACCAGCTTAAATATTAAGATAACGTATCAATTTCGTCTTAATGAGCATGGTAAATCGATTAGGGTGATTAAGTAAAATGCCTGGATTGGCTAATTGGTCTTTGAGCTCGAAGGGCTGAATTATGTGAAGAGATAGCATTCCTAAGGTTAATTATGTTCTCCAGTATCTTCTAAAGCACTGCGGAATGCTTCTTTGTTTTTAGAGTTTAGCACAGGTGCTAGGAAGCGTTTTACAAGGAGTTTCCGTGCCAGTATGTTGTACTTTTTATGCGATTAGTTTGTTTGGATGTATGCGGGTCAAAGGGTGTTTTTAATCTCGGTAAATGTTTTTTAAAGTAAAACAGGAAGTTGGATGCGGGTGCAGATTAATTTCTTAAGGTTTATTAGTGTTTTCAACCGTGATAAACATGTTAGAATCTTATAAGTTTGGTTTTAGCTTTGAAGTTTGAGCAGGTCTCTATAAATTAACTTAATAAAACTAATTTTGTTAAAACACACATTTCGCAAACTGAAAATTTAATCAGTGTATGATTTTTTTGACAATTCTCTTAAACTATGGCGGTATACCCAACTATCAAACGTTTTTAACTAAGCGTCGCGTGTTCATATTGCGTTTGCCTTCTCCAAATTAAATTGCTAGATTGTTTTCACAATGAAAACCAACTGTTATGATGAAATTCACTTTGAATAAATTGGATTGTAGTATATACAGCGTGGAAACCTAAAATAAGTGCCTTTCTTGTAAAATAATAAACTTTTACATAATAAGATCTGCTTGTTTAAAGAAAGATTAATATTTAGTTTAATGTTAGTTTTAGCCTTGACAATATTAGGTCAATTATACTTAAATTAATTGTTTTTTTTTAAGAATAAAGGTATTCTTACATTTAGAAAACATTTTTTTCCGTGTGCACCCTGTATATACATACATTTGTAAAAAACAAAGGTTTTAAATAAACGAACAAATTGGAAACCTGGTAAACAGTTAAATGGGGTGCTGTTTACTTTGTTAGAATGCGATTTGGGGCAAATATTTGATTAAAAATATTCGAATTTAGAATACACCTATGTATGTATGTATGTATGTATGTATATACAGGGTGTTTCAGAGAGAACACTCAATATATTTTAACTTTTTTAAATTCCACATAAAATTCTTAGTAAAATTACTACCTACCTAAAGTGAATAGTTATTAATTTTGTTCCTTAAAATTTGACAAATGCGCTCCATAAATAGCCTATAACTTTTTTGTTATTAAGTTTTCGGATATGGACATTTTTGGAATCTTATAACATTGTTTAAATGATTCCATGTCAATTCTTTAACATTTTTCAACAAATTACTTAAGAAAACCCATGGCAAAAAATCGTAATCTGTCATTGTTTAAAATTTTTCAGGTTATAAATCATTTGTTGACTAATTAAGTGAACTAGATAAAACACTATTATCTAATTGGAGACAATAAAATATAAAATTTATTTGTAACATTTTGTGGATAAAAACGCTTTTAAAATTTTAAATCCATATCTTATTCCGTACCACAGAAACTTCATACATAAACAGAATGTATGGCAAAAATGTCGAAAATGCATTTGAATCGTTTTGAAGTTCTGTGTAAATGTTACAAAGTTGCTTACTTCAAAAAAATTCAGGTTTTAGGTAGAGCATGCAATGCATGGATGAAGAAGAGCCTGAAACAAACAAAAGTTGAATACTTATCTGGGACATACATATATTAATATATCGCGACCTTGCTTGAGGGCACCATCAAATTATTATCATCGTATCCGCAAGAGAAAGTGGACCTAGTTTATCGTTTTCAGCTTACGGGACATTTTGGCGCCGAAAATATCATGTTGGCTGCTCGAAAATAGGTGGCAGCTGTCAACACTTCAACGCCAACTTTTTAATTATAAATAAATACAAATCGTTCATACGCTAAAGAAATATCGCTAGTAGCGCCACCACTCGGCTGTTATCATCGTAACAAAAGTACAACTTTTAATAATCAGACGCTTATGTTACAAACGAGTGTTTTTGAGAATAAAGCCGGAAATGTTAAAAAATATCGGAAAAAAAACCGTGGCTCGATTTGTTGTGTTGTTGGGTGTATTTCGAGAGGAAATCCTGGGTTGAGTTTTTACCGGTTTTCCAATAAACAGTGTTAATCTGAATGAAGAAATAAATTGCATACAGTCTCCGCGGAGAAATTGTACCTATTAGATACAATAAATACACATTTTAGTGGCGTAAATATAAATTGTACCTATTAGATACAATAAATACACATTTTAGTGGTGATTAACGTAAAAAGTGAAATATTTCAATTCAGTTAAAATCGTCAAGCAAATAAGTCGTCTAAATTTAAACAGCATTTAGCATTATTAAAAGCGTTGATTAAGAAAGTCTCCACTTAACGGTAAAATACCACTATAAATAATATTATGTTGCCATGAATTCGTAGGTATATAAATATAAAATGGTTGATTTTAAGGTTATGTTTGTGCAAAAATTATTTTTTACCAATTTCTTAAAAATGTCCAAACTTAAATATAAATTATATTAGGTAAAGTTATCATTAGTTAATTCTGCACCAACAAATGTACTTACCGAATTGGATCCTTTGGCAAAACATGAAAATGCAACGATTTAGTTCTTGAATTTTATTTACAATTAAAAACACCATAATTCACCATGGTCCCTTAGATAAAATACACACACTAACGTAACTATATAAGCATTTAAGCGTCGAGTTTCTTAATCGATGATATAAAGAATAATAAATCGAAATCGAGAACTAAACCAGTTTTTTAGTTTTTTCCTTGCAACGTAAAACACAAATAACGTGCGCGATTTAGCTGTACAATTGAATGAAATTTGTCGAGTAAGACTCTCTTTTGTGAAAAAACTACCTATTTATTTAAAAATGATGTACAGTTCGTATGCTTTAAATGTATTGTTGACAATTCTTAAATTCACGTAATGCTATCGACGTCCACCAGATGGCGCGCGCGTTGCGAAAACTTCTTTAGCGTATATCTACACTGAAAGAAATTTGTTGCTAAAAGAAAAACACAAATTTATACTAAAAATTTTATACTAGTGCTTTACACATTTATACTACTGTTTATTATGAATGTATGTTAAATTTTGTAATACATTTATTGTAAAGAAGATATGTTAGATCTAAATAAAAATAAACTTACCCTTACTATAAAATGTAAACTATAAGTGAATTACAGCAAAAAAATATTGCTAGAAACACATTTATATTGCTAGGGCAGCAATAGGCTGCTAACCAAACGAATATATTTGTTTTAGCAATGTATGTGGTAGTCCAAATATGAAACATAAAATATATTTGCCCTAATTATTTTTTTATTTAACTTTAGTATATATTTCTTTCAGTGTACTACCGACATGATATTTTAAAAATCTGTTTGTTTTTTTAATTGGAACAAATATTTAACAATTATTTTCCCTTTTTCAGAGGTCGCTTCTCCGAAGAATCTCCCAAAGGGTGTTGCGGAATTTTGTCATGGAAACCGGGGTCTTTGCGATGGTTTATAGCACTTATAGCACTAGTAGCGGTGTGTTGTGTTTTGATTGGGACGGCCTTGGGGGCCATGAGACCGGCTGGAAGGGACCATTTGACTGTTTCTTTGCTTATGATAGGTAAGAATTTAATAAATCATGTTTAGTTTTTACCCTGCAATTTTCTTACTTTCTTCAAGAAACTTTTTTGACCCATTACTGTAGAGGTTAAAAAAAATTGAACCTTCACCTCGCCAGACTTTTTGTTTTAAGTGCGTTCCACCAACTTCAAATACCGACAGACAGCTAGACAGATAGACCTATTTTGGGTCTTATCAATGTCAGGCAGTTTGGTGTATTGGAACACACCAAAAACGAAAGACACCTGAGCTTATATACTGTGCACCTAAGTCAACCGAGGCGAGATGTAAGAACATCACGTGATTGCCGCAATCGGTACATACTGTGCATTTTACATAACATTATAGCAAATCAAATTACAAACAACGTTTGTAAATCTGAGATGCTTTTTATTAGAAACTGTCAAACTGTTAGGTAAAATTACAATGCGTGTAGGATTTATACATATAGATTGTAAAATTACAACTTATCTTAGTAGATGTCTTGGAAGATTACTCAAATTGTATTATAATTTTTTATTGGTATACACTGATTTGTAATATTACTCATCCTTTGTTTTGCAAAACAATTGTTATTTTACAAAACAGTGTACATGATTAAAATGATATATAGTAAAAATGCAAACAGAAGTTGTATAAAATAGATAATGATTTGTATATTTCCAAACACTTATTGTAATTCAAATAGCAAATTTTGGTTAGTAATTTTATTGATTGTCTTGGTAAAATTAAATTTCGAATATGTATAGAAATGTTTCAAAATTTCAAATTCAATTCTACAATACAGAATTGTAAAATAAGTATCTGACAAAAACAAAAACTTGGCTATAACAAAATGTAATTTTACTTTGCAACTGCTTAGTAAAAATGTAGTAATTTTACCCGATTTGTCCAAATCACATATACCCAACAACGGGAATAATGATATAATTATCATTTTATGAAAAAAAAACAAATAATGAATATTTTATGCAATAGAAGTGGAAAAAATGTATATGGGCCAATTTACGAACGAAATTTTATTTAAAAGTCTGTAGCGTATTCTTTAAAGCTGTCACGTACATTTGTAAAAACGTGATGGCCAAAATTTTTACATACAAAAAATAACCGTTTTTTACTAATTAGGTTTAAAGACGTGTCATAACCACAATAAAAACAAATGTTATGGTACGAAAACTTTCCCATTCAACAACTACAAAAATCCGCCAGACAAAACACAGTCAAAAATCCAACAAAAAAAACAAATTGATATCTCCATGTAACCTGTCAGCGTGGCTGCGGATTGTAGCGTGTAACCATAGGGACGGGGAACAATCTCTGGCCTAATAAAGCATTAATTGAGTCTGCCCCCGTGGGGCGGCGACCCCCATCCCCCCTTTCGCCCCCCTACGCCCCTTCGCGCGGCCAAAACCAGACCTCATTGTTCATGTTTCAATGTTGAAAGTTAATAGAAAAGTTGTGATTGGACATTTTTGTTTACGAAACATGACAAGTTTATAACTTTAATAAAAATTTTATTATATAATATTTTTATACAGTGGCCCGCAAAAGTATTGGGTCATATTAAATTTAAAAGTTCATAATTTAAAAATGGTCAATGTAGAATTTTTTTTTCAGTTATAGCATTTGCATTAATTATAAAGTAAATTTACTTTATGTTTATAAAAATAACACTCTTCCGGATGCAAAAACGCATTAATAAAAATAGTTATTATTATTTGTAAAAAAACAGTTCTATACCGTTTACAAAAACGTTTTGTAGTATTAATAAAACCCTAATGGTATTATTTATAGAAATTTTGTAAATTTTACAAATCCCTTTTCGTTTAAAATACTTTTTTTATAATATTAATAAAATTTAACAACAAATTAATTGTTAATTTAATAAACTATTTTCATTGTAACAATGGTCACATTTTCAACCTACTGTTGGGTGTTGGGTAGTTTTTTTAAAATAATTGCAAGGCAAGGCAACAAATTATTTATTATAACAAAAAAATTATCTCATATTATATGACGTAAAAATAAAAAAATATGAACTCATTTTTTAAACAAGAAGTCTGTTCGTTTATATATTCTATAGAATAGACCTTAAATACTTATTTTAGAAAACGTCGAAATTTTAATTTTCTTAGTGATCCTTTTGATATTTTTATCATGCCAGACTTTACCACACGCACAATTGAAATCAAGATTATAACACAGACTGGATTATAAAGTTATGTTTACCAAGGAGAGCGCTGGCCCTTTCCTCTTTTTAAGGGAAATAACAAAAATTTTGTTACCATTGCAAAACAATAGTAAATATTAAAAAAGTCTTTTTATAGCAATAAAATATTTCTGTTATTGTTCTTAACGTAAGCTATTAACAAAGATTTTTTTAACTGAAATAAAATTAATCTGATGATTAAAAAGACAAATATGCCATACTAAAATGAACAAATTTTACTATATACAGGGTGTTATGTAATTAATGTTATATATTAAAATGGGTTGTTCCTTAGGGTCCATAAAGAAACACCTGAAACTTTTTTTTTCTAAATTCCAAAGTCTAAAAATAATTTATAATAACCTTTATCCTACCAAAAAGTACGCCACTGATCGACTAGGAACTTTAGGTTAATCTGGTGGATTTATTATGTTATGGTTAGTAACAACAGTTTTTCCAAAATCTCTCAAAAAAGTTGACAAACATTGTTTAAATTTAGCTTAATTACAAAAATGACAAAATTAACAATGCAAATTGTCAATTTGGCGTTTTTATTAATTGTTGGTTATTTCATTTTTGTACTGAAGGTAAATTCAAACAAAATCTGACAACTTTTATGACAGAATCTAGTGCATTTCTTTTAAATTTTAGGTTATGTTTTCAAATTGTAAATACCTTAACTAAGGGAAGTGATTTTGGATTTATTTACACAAATTAAATGTTTAAAGTTTAACCTGTGAACTGGTCCCAATTTCATCTGAGTAAGGGGCCGTTCATTAATTACGTGAGGTGTTTAGGGGGGGGAGGGGGGTCGAGCCAAACCTCACCAAATCTCACGTGGGGGGGAGGGGGGCTCTCGGCAAATATCACGTAATTTTTTTTTCCGAAAGAAAGAGTTAAAATTGCGAGAAAACTGGGTTAAATTAAGTAAACAATTATAAGCAAATTGTTTTTTTTAATAAATCTAATGGAATCAAGCACAGATTAACTTATTTACATTAAAACCATGCATTTTAAAAAATCTCACGTGAGCTTAAGGGGGGGAGAGGGGGTCGAGCAAAATCTCACGACATCTCACCAAGGGGAGGGGGGGGGTCGAAAAATCGCCAAAATTGTCTCACGTAATTAATGAACGGCCCCTAAACAGAGAAAAAAACTGATGAAAAAATTAATTTTGTGGTTATGGATTTCAAATTTCAAAGGTACTAAATTTTCTAATCATTGCTTAAGCTAATAGCTGGATCAGTAAATAAATACAGAAGGTATTAGAGCTTTAAGGGTATAAAACTTTTGTATTTATTGAGTTTTTATTTATTTTTTGCAAGAAAAATTTTTAGTAACAATTTTTTACATCTGGCAACGCATAGCTACTTCGTTGGTTGGTATCTATGTACTCACAAAATACAGGTGTGCAGAGATAAACAAGTGTGTAACCAGTGGCGTATCATAAAAAATATAAAAAACTTCTAATGCATATTTTTTCTTTATGTTTGGAAAAATGCTTTTTAAAATATTTTTCCTTTATTCCTTATGTCAAAAGGTATTCAGTATTTTAATATATAACATTAATTACATAACACCCTGTATAGTTATACCTAACAACTGCCCATTATTTTATGTAAGCGCAATTCACACACGACTATAGATTTAACAAAAACATTTTAAGTTTGACAAAGATTTAATATTTATATTTATAAACATAAAGTATTTCTTATTGCCATGACAATATGATAACAACTATTCAAAGTACTTTGTTGGATGAACTTTTTTTTATAAAAGCTTAACATTGCTGCTTCATTATACCAAATGAGAATTTTATTAACAGTAAAAAAAGTTAATTCTGTAAATAAAAATAATCTCATTACTTTGACAAATCGTAGGTTTTTGTCCCAATAAGACACTGAAAATTTAATAAAAATGGTACCTTAGGTGGTACATTTTTTTATAGCCATAGCCTTAATAATATGTATTATCAAACAATTTCATATAAAATTATATGATTTTATATAAAATGAAATAGTTAAAGTAATATTAAGGCTGCGATGCTAAAGTTATATAAATTCTTGCTTTAAAACGCTAAAAGCCAGAAAATTTATTTGAGTGTAGACATTATTTATTACACTTTTGTAACATGGTTATTGTGTCTGCGCAAATCATGAACCTCTCCCATGTTGTACGTGTATTGAAATCTAGTCTAAACTACCGTTCTCTGACATTTTAAGATTTTATTACGTAAGTATAGCCAAGAGTCGGTCGTCGAGGCACAATTTGCAGGATCACGAATAAGGTGCATTTTGGACAATTTGTTTAAATTAAGATTTGATTTATTCGTCGGAATTATTTGGTAAATATTTAACGTTCACAGCTTAAACATGCAAAATATTCATTAATTACAACCCATCACGTACAGACCGTTGAATTATGACTGAAACGGTACAAAAAGGTCACAAAATAAACCCTGAACTAAACTGTTTTAACATAAAGGAGATACACTTTTTAGAACGTACTTGGTTTTACTAATTTAACCCTTTAAATCTGAAAAAATCCCAAGAAAAATGTGGTAATTAAGAAAAACGGAAATAATTAGTAAATCTTGAAAATATGCAAAATGTAAAACCTCAATATTTCAATGGCATACAGTTTTACTTAGTTATAATGAAAAATCCTGTCAGGGTTGTCAAATATCGAAGGTCAGAGTTCACGAAATACAGTTTTTCTTGATTATTTCGTAAACTATTAAATTTAAGTAAATTTTAGTTTTAATAAAATTTGTTCTTTGCATAAATCTGCACTATTAATTTAACGTAAATTTTGATTATAATGAAATTTGATCCTCGCGTAAATCTGCATAAAAATGGTTCTGTACAAAATTTACCTAGGACTAATAGTTATCGAGAAATGCTGGATAAGTCGCATACTCCACTTTTTTGTCTCATATCTCGAAAACTAGTAGTTCTACTTGAATTTTGTATAGGACCAGTTTTATATAGATTTATATGAGGAACAAATTTATAATGACCAAAATTCATATTAACCAATAGTTTACGAGATAATCGAGAAAAACTTATTTTGGCGCCCTTAAATGAATCATATCTCGAGAATCATGAGTCCTACGTTAATTATGTGTATATAAACTTTTATGCAGAATTATATAAGGAACACATTTTATAATAACCAACATGCAAGAAAAAGCAATGGTTTACGAGATAATCGAGAAAAACTGTTTCTCGTGACCTTTGACCTTTGACCTCATTATATAGAATATGTTTGTTTGTCTAGGGGTAGGAATAGTCCTGGTGACAGTGTCAGGGGTGGCTTGGCGTCTAACTTCACACGACTCGTCGACGTGCCGCTCGATGTTAGGGCTGGGCTCCACGGAATCGGTTGACGTGTGCACGCGCCGCTTCGTGCCGCGGCTGCCGCCGTCTTACGGCCGTCCGCACCACCCTTACGCCGCCATGATGTACCCCGAGTTCCAGTATCGGCCGCCGCCTCCCAGCTATCAGGCCTCGATGCAAGAATACAGGTTGCGGTTGCTGCTGTTGGATAGAGGAAACGCGCCGCAGATCCAGGGCGGGGTGCAGAACGTCGTGTCGCCCCCTCCAACGTACAGAAGTCACGCCGGAAGTCTGCTAAGGTTTGTTTTTATTTTTGTAAAAAATGTTTTCGGTCCTTGTGAATTTTTTTTACCTCACAGTGCTTTTTTGTCCGCGTGAAAGTTTATTTTACTACACAGTGCATTGTGAATATCTTGTCCACGTAAAAATTTGTTTTTATGCAAAGTGGAATTTTTGTTCCAAAGAAAATTTTGTTTTAAACATGCAAGAGAATTTCAAGGTTATAAATGTCAAATTGGTTTTTCAACCGAAAATCGAGAAATTTTGTAATTTTTTTTTCCATGTGAAAATTTGTCCTACTGCACAGTGAATTTTGTTTTCCGCGTGAAAGTTTGTTTTAAAAACCTACTTCATATAAAAATTTTATTTTCTGTACGCCTGAAATTTTGTTTTACCACATAGTGCAAATAGAGAAAATTTGACATATTATGTTGGATTTTTTATCCTGTTAAAAATTTTGTTTTGTGACTGCATTTTTTTGTGAATTATTTATGGAAAAATCGAGAAATTTTGTACACTTTTGTGAAAATTTGTTTTACTGCACAGTGCATTTTTGTGTCCGCTGGAATGTTTGTTTAAATACAAAGTGCATTTTTCTCCACATAAAATTTTGATTTTCTATACAGTGCTATTTTTGGTACGCCAGAAATTTTGTTTCACCACACGGTGCATTTTTTCGACCGCGTTGAATTTTGTCTCACTGCACAGTAAATTTTTGTTCAAGTGAAAATTTTTTCTTATCCAAAGTTGATTTTTCGTTGTGGAGAAAATTTCGTTTACTACACGGTGCATTTAGCTTTCCTTCATTGTGCAAGGTTGGTTCTGTCAATTTTTTACACTTTTAGTTCAAATGTAAAAATTTGTTTTACAAGGAAAAATCGAGAAAACTTGACATTTTATATTATGTTTTTCTGCACAGTGGATTTTTTATTTCATTACTTAAGGGGCCAATCAGATTTCAGAAAACGAGTGGTTTTTTCAGTTTTGCAGCCATAAAACTAGTATACTCGTTTATACGAGTAGCATAGCATCCAATTGGTTGCTATGCGAAAAATAATTGTCAATGATGACGTTTCTAATTTTAAAATAAAAATGTCAAAAATATGCGTTTTGGTAAAAAAAAATCATACAGAAATTGAATCGGCAATTAAGACTAATTAAAAAAAAAATTCGTGAAATAGTCTTGCCGAATACCACTAGTGATAAAATTTGATTTTTATTTACTCAAGATTTTTCCTTGGAAATTTCGCTCCTGACATTAGAGCCTAGGGCTCGTGGTCTTAAAAATGAATGCCACTTGTGAAATTTCCAAGAAAAAAACATTCGTATAAAAATCAAAAAATATTTTTTGACTGCAGTTTTTTGGTTTATTATTTATTTAAACTAGTTTAAGGGTCATAAATGTCACAATTTGTTTTTCAAGAAAAAATGTTGTTAACTGTTTTTTTAGTTATCAAAAATGAACTTTTCTGCACTGTGCAAGATTTCTTGTGTAAAATTTTGACAGTTTTTAATGTAGTGTATTGTCAAGGTCTTTAATGTCAAAATTATTTATTTTTAAGAGCCTCTTTAGAAAATTTGACTTCCGATTTTTTAAATTCATTTTAAATTTTAAAATTATTTTAAACACATCTTCCATTATAAAACTAGTAGCGACATCTATATGGATTTACCCAAACTTTGCAAATAGTAACCTTTAAACGCTGCAAAACGTTTACAGTATGTCGCTAGTTTGGCGACAATAAACGTTATTCGACATATTATGCAACCTAAAAATAAAAATCTTGTTTAAACAAACCCAAAAACCATGGAGCCTACACAAGGAGTCACAACTTAAACGGGGAATTTATTGTCTGCTGTTTCGGTACAAATAAAACGATAAACGGAACACCAGCGCCCTCTTAATTTAAGAAGCTATTTGCATCCTTGTGTAGGCTCCATGCCAAAAAAGTAACTTTTCGACTCAAAACGTGAAAAACCGATATCTCTAGCAATAGTAGTACCGATGATTTCCGTTGCAGGGCGCCACTATCGAGTAGACGAGACGCCGCCCAATCAGAGTACAGCTGTCCGCCATCGTACCGATCGCAGAACAGCTCGAACCGTCAAAATACGCTGCCCAACAACGCGATGTTGCACAGCCGGGAGCAGTCCTTATCGCTGTCAGAATCTAACAACGGAGGATCCGTGGTTAACGTTGTTAACATATTGGGAAGCACCGAGGAGGATATAGCGTTGGACAATATAACTCTGGATTCGCTTAAAATGGACCCAGAGAGCGATATTAACCCCCTGAAAATGTTGCTGAAGGCCACAAGTACAGGAGACTTGGAAGGCACCAAGGACGGCAATTTGGTCACGATTGTGCAAACAAGTGATCAAAGTCCTGTCATTGTGACAGTCAGCGGCAGCTCCCAACTGGAATCCAACACAAACACAGTGCAAATAACTGAAATACCGTCTGAAATGGAGATTTTAGCCCATTTATAGTCCTTATTTAAAACAAGCCGTTTTTATATTATTTAATTCCATAATTATTAACCATTTGTACATTCTTTTTGTCAAACGTTGTATATTTGCGATATTACGTGCCTATATTGTAGATAGTTTATAAATAGCACTGTATTATATTATATTTTAAACTGTATACATTAAATTTTTAATAAGTATTGTTAAATTTGACTTTTATTTTAAATACCCTTCCTTAAAATTAATTTAAAATAACAAAAAAAAACATGAAAACTAAATTTAAAAAAAAATGCAAAAATCTTGTCACTCAGTGTACATGACATCGAGTAGTTTAAATGTCCTACACTGCATGACATAATTTTTAAATCCTATCCTCCTAATTTAATTGTTTTTGGCCATACAGATGTATATTTGTCACATAACATAAAAAAACACATTTTCATTATAAATAACATATATTTCAATAAATACACTCTATTCCTCTAATTTTAAAGGTACCATGTTAATTTCTTGACACAATTCGTGCACATTTTGCTCCCACCTTTTCTCAAAATAAATATTTAGTAGGAAATCCATATTTTTACCAGTCTTTATAGCCCAGGGTAGATATTTTTCAGTGTATAACTTCCTATGCTTAGGTTTTAATCTGCCTGCCCCGAATATGGCCCCCCCTATGCACATGGGGAGTTTTGTTTGTATTGCCTCCACCCACTTCACTGTAACTTCACCTAACATATGAGTGGGCATGCATAATACTGTGTGAAATAGGTCATGTGTTTCACGATATCTTTGTATGACGTATGCTAATTCTATGTTGTCTACGAACTCCACAGGCATTCTGGAGTCTGGGGTTACGTTATTTTCCACCAAAAAGTTACTGTATGTCTTGCCAAGAGTCCCTTCTGGAAGTTTTTTGAGGTATTCTAAATCTACTGTTCTTGAATTTATTCGAGGTTTTTTGGACAATATTTCATAGCCTTCATGTGAGTTCAACATTATTTCGTGCATTTCTACTAAAGCATCTTCCCCTGTAGTCTCACTAAGAGTCGCTATCATATCACCTCTATAAGGATCCAATATGGATAAAGCTGCCGAACCAACTGCCAGGGCAGATTTTTGGAATACATTCAATTGCACATGATTTCTATTATAATCATCCTCAAAACTCGCCAAATTACGTCCTAAAGCTTGATTTATTAACGGCACTAAACGCCTGGGGGCCTTATTAAACGCCAAAATCATTTTATTTCTAAAATTACATCGTACATAACCTCAACTGTCAAAAACGTACTTAACCTCAACTGTCAAACTCAATTGTACATTGGAACCATGGATACACATGTTAGGATAGTCAATTCCCTTTCGTGACGCACTTTTCTTTTCAATAACCGGGTTTCTTTTATGATTGAGATGTAGCATTAAAAAAATCGAGTGTGCTAAAACCACGCCCACTACAAGGAATCTATACGGCACGTTTTTTAACGTGGCCCACTATCCTGTCAATTGTATCCATGATTGGAAGCACGTCTGCGGTATGGCAGGTTTCTACTAAACCATGACATTTAAAATGTCAAGAAACCATAACAATGTCGCAAGAAACCGTATATTTTTAACTTTTTATCAACATGTGGTCACAATATGATGAAAATATCGAAGAAAATGTATTTTTTAAGGAAGTATCTGCAAATCACGGTGACATAATCGAAAAATCATGCGAAGAGAACTGGATTATTACCGTACCGAGAGAAGGGTGTTTCGAAAGTAATGAAAACATAAGTTTTGAGGTGATTCTGGACCACATTTTAATACCTACGGAAGAAAACGAGTACACTACGTTGAGTAAGAAGAATGTTAGTGTTGAAAATAAGAAGATAATCATAGAAAATTGCCATTCCTTCGACATTCTATTTGAAGAGACGTTTTATCAACAAGAAAGCCTAAAATATGTTGTTTGGTGTATAGATAGACCTCTATTCGTAGAATATACATGTAAAGTATATCAGAAAGTTTACTTGGAGAATATACACGACTGCATAGACTTTTTATGGGTAGAATCGTTGTCACATTTAATACTCGACCAGATTCGTAAGTTAAGTGTTGATTTTACAAATCAATACAAAGATTTTGAAGTGGAGGATTTACAAACACAAAAAGACTTAATTGGAAGACTCTATTCACAGTGCCTGCAAGCAGCATTCAAGAATACTCACTTGAAAGAGAAGTCATCTAAAAGTGATCAATTTTTTGAAAATTTAAAAATATCAGTGGAAACTTACATGCACTACTGTTTAGGGAGTAAATTGGTGAGTGCTGTCAATACTTTTATGTGTACACACGACGGGTGGTTTAACCATATAACGCGAAATGCGAAATTTTTGCTAGCTAAAGATTTGGGTATTTCTGATGATTTTGATGACATTTTAACGCTCGCGAAATGTGAGTTGAACAAAATAAACAGTTATTTATCGATTTTGGATAAAATTAACTGCTTACAGAGGACTTTCAAGTGTTTTGAGGATGGTAAAAGTAAAACATGTATTACTTCGGATGAAATTTTAAAGTTTTTGGTTTTTATTATGTTAAAACTAAATGTGAACAATTGGAACAGCAACTTGGTGTTCATCAAGGAATATAGGTTTAGTTCTATAAGTTACAACAACGATTTTGTTATAACATCTTTTGAAGCAGCTGTGGAGTTCATAAAAAGTAACAACTTTTTGGACATTAAAAACAACGCGTTAATGAATGACTCTAAAAACGATATTTTTGATTATGTACGACTGGGGATGCTAAGGGAAGTCAAAGAGTTGCTGAAACAAGAAAAAACACTACCAGAACAAAAGTTGTGCCACCCTTTATGCAGTTGCAACAACTGTAAAGATATTACCAACACTAAAAAAACAAATATTGATGTTCACATGGTGAATGAAAAAGGTCAGAATCTGCTTACTTATGCTGCTATATATAACCAATGCGAATTATTGGAATATTTTTTACACACCAAGTGTAATGTAAACTCTACTGACTACCTAAATAGAACTGCTTTACATTATGCAGCTTCATATGGTTATCAGGACATTCTACTACTACTTATAAACTTTGGGGCCGATATAAATGCCCTTGATTGCGATAAAAACACACCCCTACACTTGGCCTGCGATTTTGGGCACGAAACGTGCGTTAAAGCCTTGGTTTATTCCTCAATAAACGTAAAATACGACTTGGCGAATTTTTTCGGTGACACTCCCTTACATCTAGCCACTAAATGGAGTTACATTGACATTGTACGCTTTCTGGTGGAGAATGGGGGTTATACCAACGTAAAAAATCGAAGAAACAAAACCCCTGTTGAGGTGTCGAGCAACTATTGCACACGAATGTTGCTGGAAAATGCACCGGAAATTTTGTGCAATAATAACTATGAAATATGGGAAAATTTGGAGATTATGGAAAATAATGATGTCGCCAATATAGACTCTTTGGATTTTGGGGTTAAACCGCGAACGATAGAAAACTTCAAAAAAATCGATTTATTACTAAAAGCGATTGAAAACAATGATTCTCCGTTGACAAGATTTTACTTAGGTTTCAACAATGATACCATACAAGAAACAACGAAAAAACAATGCCACCCACTGTGCGCATGCGCGGTGTGCATCACAGACTCCACTACCAACCCCACATCACCAAAAACCCCAAACATTTTAAGCGTAAACACCTGCAACCCTTTCGGTTACACCCCCCTACATTTTGCAGCTAAATATGGTCGATTGGAAATTGTTAGACTACTATTGGACTCTTCAGCTTCAATAAATGTAAAAACCTACTCGACTTTGTACACTCCGCTGCATCTAGCGTGCTTGAACAAACGCACGAGTGTGGTAAAAGAATTGCTGCAGTGCGGTAATTGTAAAGTGGACGAGAAAGATAGCAAAGGCAATACACCTCTATTTTACGCCTCTACGAATTGTTGCAATAAAATAGTGGAGATGTTACTAAGTAACGGAGCGGATTGTAATAAGAAAAATAACGGGGGTAAGACTATTGTGCAAGATTGCGAGGAAAGAATGCTTTACGGAATTCTAAATATGTTTCACGAAAATTTAAAGGAAGCCGATGAAAAGAGTACCTGGGATATTTTTTAATACTAGTCAAAATTGTGTATATGTACATATTTTTATACAAATAAATTATGTATTTTACACTAAAACGTATTTTGTTACTCAGTGTACATATAAACGAGAAGTTCAAATGTCCAACACTGAGAATCATAATTTTTTAACCACCTATGCATTTAATCAAGTAGTTCAAATGTTCCACAAAATCGATTTTATTTATTCAAAAAAGATATTACTATATAAAATTCTCTAGAAACATAAAAAAACTGAGTAGGTACTTCATAAAAAAAATTAAACAAATCAATTTTAAAAGTTTTATTTCCTTAAATATTAATAAAAACTAAAAAAGTAGGTGTTTCAAACATGTTTTTCACATATGTATATATATAGGTATATGGTATTCCCCAGTGTCGATATAATCGAGTAGTTCAAATGTTCCACACTGAGAAGCTTAATTTTCTAACCAGCTATGAAAGTGTGGCATATACACTGAAATGCAAGATAAAGGATTTTTTAATAGAATAAGATGTTTTAGAGAACAAACTCGATTTTATTAATCAAAAAGATTTCTGTATAAAATTTTCTTGAAACCAAAAGGTTTATTAAAAATGCAAAGCTTTATTTATAGCCACTATAGTAAGTTGCTTATCCAAAACGCAAATTTAATTTAAAAAAATTTAAAGTTTTATTTTTTGAAAAAAATTTAAATTAAAAAAAATGGGTAGTTTAAAAATGTTGCATCTCAGTGTATATTTAATCGAATAGTTCAAATATTCGATAACGAGAAGCATCAATTTCTAACTACTAAAATAAGACAGGATTTTTTTTAAATGTATTATTGTCCTGTACATATTACAGGACATCAATTTTATTAAAAAAAAAAATTACCATACTCTTGAAACATAAAAATGCAAAGCAATTGCTTCATATTTAATTTTCATAAAAACAAATTTTAAGTTGCATTTTCTAAAAAATAAAAACGTAGATGGTTTAAATTTTTTGTTCCTCAGTGTACAAAAAATCGAGTAGTTAAAATATCCGACACTGAGAAGCATGATTTTGTAAACACTGAAATGCAAGATGAAGGATTATTTTTTTAATGAAATAAGACAATTTACAGGACAAAATCAATTTTATTTAATCAAAAAAATTATTGCTACATACATAAAATACTCTTAAAACATAAAAAGGATGAGCAAATTCTTTAAAAATGCAAAAAAATATTATTGCTTCATAGGTACTTTAGTACTTATTCAAATGCATTTTTTTTTTGTAAAGATAATAATAATAATAATAAAGTACATTTTAATACTTAAAGCACCCTAAAACGCTACAAAAATAACCAACTGGTTTAAAAAATAAAGTATTTAAATTATCTAGAAGATAAGGCGTTTAATGGTTTATTTTATTTTGAAAATGCTGGTGTAAATGGGTTCAAAAGGTTGTAAAAGGGTATAAAATTTGGTTTAATACTTGTTTTAATAATCTGCAACAAAAAAACAACATTACTTTACAAAAACGCAATTATTAATAATTTTACCTTTTTTAGTCTTTCCAATCTTTTTTGATCTCAAAGGTCCATTCCCATTTCAAATGTTCATTTTTGTCATCATCAGTGAACAAGGAATGAACCGTATAACTGCCTCTGGCCAACATACCAGAGGGAGCATCCTCGGAGGGGGTGGTGTAGGATTGAATTTCACTTTTAGGGGCATAGGAACCAACCATGTGGGTCATTTTGTCAACTGAAAAAAAACAATTCTTTCAATTTTGTGTTTTTTTTGTTTTATGATGTTAGAGGTGTGTTAGAATGTTGGAAAAGATAGAATGTGATAAAAGTAATTTTACCTGCATCTGTACAAATCCAGAGGCAAAAAATACCAAATACATAATTAATAATCAATATTAACCACAATTAAATCACAAAAACCCACCTGTAACACCCATTTTGCTGGTTTTCTGAACATATTTCAAACCATGAACGATTTCCCTTTGAACAATAAATTCAATTCTAATCCTGTACGAGACTCCTTCCTTGATGGTAAAAGTCTCCTTTTTCAACTTTGATAAATCCCCAGTTAAATCCAAAGCAACTTCAGGTCTGTCAGCAGCAACAAGAACAAGCTTCTTTACAATGACTTTCTTTGGATTATCAGGCTCTTAAAATCAATGAAAATGTAGTTAAAGCAATAATTAATAGTAAAATACATACCTACTACCACTACACCAGCTTGAGCCTGCCCCAAAAGAGTTTCTTTATATTTACGTAAACTCTCATCCTCCTGGTCTATTTGCAGGATTTCTTCAATGGTTTTCTCTGGAGGTGGTTTGTAAGTCGAGTCGTTCTCATTCTCGAACTCTTCTGGAGTTGTTACTTCCTCACCGGACATTTTAAATCTTAAAATAACAGTCAAAATGACAACTCCTAACCCTACCAACACCTGTCAAAATGACTAACGCCCTAAACACTGTTTTTTAAGGTTATGTAGGTTTCAAAACGTGCTATTTATAGCGAATTCAGATTAATCGTTAATGCAAAGGCAATAAAAATTTATTTTTAAACGCAGAATGACATTTTTATTAGATTTGTAATCACACAAACAAAGATGTTAAGTTTAAGTTTAAAATGAATGATTTAGGTTGAATTAATTTGTTATCATAAAAATAGACTTACAGGAAATCGTTTTGTATTACAAAAAGATAAGGAATTTAACCGAAAAGAGGCAGGAAAACACCAAAATATACACATGTTGAAAAGCCGGTTTTTGGAGATGTAATAATGTCATATAATGTGGTAATTAATTGGAAAATTATACTTACGTGTATTTTTTGACTAACTTTAGTAAAAACCTCTCTAAAAACCGATAAAAACTCAAAAAAACACTGCAATAAAAATGGGTGGTTTACCTCCTACAGAGTGCGCAAGTCAATTAAAGCGCATGCGCGAAATAAACGTCAGAAAATAAAATTGATGTTTTTGAATTTTTAATGATTAAATGCATTTTCATCGACAAATTTATTTATTTATATTAATATTTTATTGTTTTCCGTGATTTTGGAGCTTAAAAATGCCTTCATAATAAAAGTGCTGCTCACCTGCTATAGTAGCAGTATAGCATATTCAAAAATCTCCTATACCTACCTATACGTCATTCATAACGCGGAAAATCAGATGAAAATAAAGAAATCAATAAAATCAAGATTTTTATTAAAAAATCAACATATTTACAACTACCAATCGTTTAAATCAGTTTATATGCTCGATTTTTTTTAGTGGTAGATTGAATTTACGAAGGTATAGTAAATTTAAAAGTAAACTACGTACACGTCATCAATAAAACAAAAATTTTACGCATTGGTACCAACACTAAATGACTAAATCGAAGTCTGTAATTGAATGTTTGAATGCATTTTAAACATCTTCAGTTGGCAACAATTAAGATGTTGTCATATTTACATTCAAATATTTCATATTTAAATGACACATAAAAAAGAATTTGACGTTTTAGAATTTCGAAGCTGTCAGTTGTGTTTTTGAATATTTCGTTTAATTCGTGTAATATTTCGTTGATTTTGTTTGTTGTTTGTGTTATTTTATATCGTTTAAGTTTTCATTTCCGTTTTTGTGTTTGTTATATATCGTTTTTTTGTGTTTCCTTTATTTAAAATGCCGAAGCATTTAAATAGTCGGAGTCAAGAGTTGGTGTCATCCTTAATACGCTATTTTGAGGCAGAACGGGATAATAATGGACCTTTGTTACCTTTAACAGCTGTTAGAGAGGTAAATAGGATTATTATTAATTATATATTAGAATATTTAACAAAATATATGTTGGATACATAAAATAATAATATATATACCAGAGACTGACTTTAGATGGCAAAATTTTTTGGTTTTATATCAGAAAATGTCTTTAAAAATGGCTAAAAACATTCTTTTGGAGGTGCATCATATAGGTTATAAAAACTCAGACTTTTGACATTTTGGTATTATTCATGTAAACGCCATCTATCGCCCTGTGGTTGCACTACCACTTTCCCTTGATGCAAGGATTTTAGCATCACATTGACAACCGTGCCCGATCAGCTGATTGATGACGTGTACGTAGTTTACTTTTAAATTTACTATAGTAGGCTTGTTGCATTTTTTTAAGAACGTTTGTATCTGTATCGTTTACAATAAGCTAAGATTAGTGAAAGCTATGCTATGGGACTGGTTGGTTAAATATTGCAACATTTGGCTGTAAAATGTTTCTATAGTCCTATCTTTAAAACTATTTGCATTTGAGATTTTGGTAATCTTAGTAAACATGTATAATGTATGGGTTTCATGGACACTTTTTGATGTTTTTTTGTTGAAATCAGAACCTAAAATAAACACCTCAAGACAATAAATGTCAAAAATCGCCATGTTGTGACGTCATAGTTATTTTTGACGTTCAAGTGACAGCTTGACGTCACAAGTTGGCGTATTTTGACATCAAACTCGCATCTCCAAAATGACCGGTAAATTTATTACTTTCCAAGATTTTTTAAACTTAAAAATGCCTTTATAATAAAAGTGCTACTATGGTATTTTTTAACAATCTCCTATACCTACCTATCCGTCACTCATAATGCGAAAAATCTAGTGAAAATAAAGAAATCAATAAAAACAAGGTTTTTATTAAAAAATCAAATCTTCCCGCTTTTTCGAATTCACCTTCGTCCTCTGTGCACAATAAACTAAGATCAGTAAATGCTATGGGTCTGATTGGTTAAATATTCCAACATTTGGCTAAAAAGTGTTTCCATAGTCAAATTGTTAAAATCTTTTTTTTTATCTTGACCTGTCAAAACCTAAGATACAAAGCGACGTTAATGTCAAAAATCTCCATGTTGTGACGTCACACTGCCATTTTTAACGTTTAAGTGACAACGTGACGTCACAAGATGGCGAATTTTGACAGACACTCTCACCTCCAAAATGAACAGTAAAATTATTACTTTATGTGATTTTAAGGCTTAAAAATGCCTTCATAATAAAAGTGCTGCTATAGTATGTTCAAAAATCTTCTAAACCTACCTATACGTCACTCATAACGCGAAAAATCAGGTGAAAATAAATAAATAAATAAAAACGAGGTTTTTATTAAAAAATCAACATATTTACAACATTTACCAATCATTTAAATCAATATCTTGCACAATATCCTTTTCGCCATCATCTTGTACTGGGCCAGAATCCTCCACACGTTTTTTCTGGCTTTTACCTCTTTTCCCACGTTTTTTATTCTTCCCGCTTTTTTCGAACTCACCTTCGTCCTCTGAATCGCTTGGGAACAAAACCACGGGGCTGTCCTTCGATTCTTTTCCGTCGTCATTTTTCTTGGATTTTTTGTTCAAGGTTGGCAACTTGTAGTCGCCCAGTTCGTCGGCGTTCGTCAGCTGTTTATTTTTCTTGATTTTGCTTACTTTACTCCAGCTGTCGTAGTAAGTTTGCAAGGGGGTCCCCGAGGTTCTTATCCTCGACTCCCAACCTTCAATTTTTTTGAAGTCGGTTAGCAAGAAGTTTTCCTTTTTGCGTTCGTTTTCTATGAACGTGTTGTTTTGCTCGATTTTTTCCAGCAGTTGTTTGAATTTACGAATGTAGTTGGCTTGTTTGCATTTTTTCAAAAACGTTTTTATCTGTATCGTGCACAATAAACTAAGATCTGTGAAGGCTATGCTATGGGACTGGTTGGTTAAATACTCCAACATTTGGCTATAAATTGTTTCTATAGTCGTATCCTTAAAACCATTCTCTTGCATTTGAGATTTTGACAATCTTAGTATACACGTATAATGTATGGGTTTCATGGACACTTTTTGATGTTTTTTGTTGAAATCGTAACCTGTGAGAACCTAAAATAAACATAAAAACAATAAGTGTCAAAAATCGCCATGTTGTGACGTCACACAGTCATTTAAGTGACAGCTTGACGTCACAAGATGGCGCATTTTGACAGACAAACTCTCACCTCCAAAATGAACGGTAAAATCGGTACATAAACCCCCGTGGTCTTCGAAATATCAATCAACACTTGTATTACATGGAATCTGAGCGGATAATATTGCGCAGTGGGTACCAACTTGATCGTGCCCAGTGAAACTTGCACCAGGGGGTAAACTAACTGTTGGAACTGCGGTTTGTGGTAGTTTACTGACAGTAAACTGCCCCAGAGTCGAAGCGAGTTTATAAACTGCCAGTTATACACCGATTGAATGTTTTCCGTTTTGTTTACGGTGATCGCGTTGCGCAGATGTATGGCGAGTTGCCTAATGTACAAAAACACGTGTTGGTAGGCCATGTTGGCGTCGAGGGCGAACATTTCCACCAATGACCGTCGCATAAAGTTTATGGGCGCTAAAGTTCCCATGCTCATGAATTTCGAGTTTTTTACGTACGTTACGTACATTGATTTTAAGGTTGTGTCCAGTAAACCTTGTTGGTTGTTGTTTGTGATTCTCAAAATACAAAAGAATGATATGACGCGCACCGAGTCATCAGCTGTACCCCACAAATGGATTAAACGTTTTAATAATGGTTTTGTTATGTTTGGGTAAGAAATTAACATCGGTGATAGATAGTGCAAGTGTTTTAGTAGAACATTCTGTATATTTGAGGATGTAACACCCAGAAGTAACTTAAACAAACAAAACATAAATAATAATATACCAATAACAAAAAACAATGAATCCTACCTTGAGTAAATCAGTGAAATAACCCTTTAAAATCTTTTTAATCTTTGGAAATTTCTTACACTTGTGTGGGGGCATTCTACTTTGGCTTATTCCTAAAAATCTTCTCATGGCAGGCCCCAATTCCAACACACAAAGCTGTATAACACCATTAAACACAGATGAACCTTAAGTAGAAAAAATACAAGCTAAAAAAACATTTTTTAAGTATTTAATACTACTTACCTTCAACTTTAAACAGAGCCGGTTCTTCATCTTGGTCATCATCAGCGGAAACGCGTTTTAAACACGCGTGAAAAGCTTGTGTTACGTTTAGTATAGTGTTTTTTGATTTGTCTGTTTGTATGTCGTTTTGCCATTGCTTTATTAGTTTCAAGGTTATAACTCTGTTGTCCTTAACTGTATCTTCATCTCCCTGGTAAATTAAATTAAAAATGCCATAATAATATTAATAAATCCAAAATACCTCATAATCACTCTCATCACTGGCTACTTCCAAATCTTTACTTGGTTTATGTAATTTTTCCCTTTTAACATCTCTAGCTTCGCTATCATCATCCCCTTCTTCATCAGAGAGGTTGAAGTTCAATAATTTTTTATCATTTTCCTGTAAAAACCCATAAAACTCAGGATCTGTTTCTTGAAGCTTCGCTAAGGATTTTTTGTGCTGTTCTGCTTCATCCGCGCTATCCATATCCACTTCCTCCTCGTTTTCTGAATCGTCTTTGTTTATTTCATCGTCCATATCAATATCAGATTCACTGTTTTCACCATTTTCTTCATTTAAATCATCACTATAATTTTTGTATCAACAATAAGGAATAAATGTAAATATCGTGGTATTTTACCTTTTTTCTGATGGTGCATCAACATCATCACCGAATTCCTCATCGGATAACTCCTCATCACTCATATTTTGCTTCATAAAATCATCAACATTTTTACTATTGAACTTTTGTTCCTTCTTTGGCTTAATGTGCGATTTTTTCGGCTTGATTTGCAACTTCTTCGCTTTCCCAGCCTTAAAACCGTTAACTTTACCCTTTTTACTTTTCTTCAAAGCCAAATTACTTTTTAATTTGGCCATTTCACGTTTTCTTTTCAAGCAAAACACAAGCAACTGTCAACACGTGAGAAAAAGTGAGGTTAATCGGGACCAGTGTTGCCAACATGTTTCCAGAATTTTTTATCAAATAGTACCTACTATAGTTTTTAGTCCTAAATTAAACAACGGCCATTTTTATGTTGTTTACAATTGTGCTTTGGGGTTGTGCTGTTTATACAGATTAAAAATTGTTTTAAACGTTGTGTTTGTTACAAATTTAAATTTAAGGCACTTGTAACGTCTGATTTATAGATAGCCTTCCTTCCTTCCGTAAATGTTGAACAATACCAAAATCGTAGTGCCATTTATAGATTCCCGTACGGGATTCTTTAAACAGCACAACAGTTTTTGTTTTGTTCATCTTTTACGGGAGGAAGGAAGGAAATCTATAAATGAGACTTAAGCCTCAAATGAGACCTTAAAAATAAACCTTATTTTATCAGGGCTGTCATCAAACTGTCAGATGTCAATTTTAAGGTTAATTCACCCAAACCCACAAATTAACCTTAAAATTGACATTTGACTTTTTACACGCCGGCGGCTTAGTATACACTTTCTTTTTTTAAATTGTAACATTTTTGGTTAATAAAATTTTTATTTTTGGGCTAGGTTAACAATTTCTATAATATTTTGAGCCTGTTTCATGGTGGGCATATCTATCATGCTACCTCTGTAGGTGAAAGCTCCCTAGAAAAAGAAAAATTAAAGAAAAAAATAGCGTTTTTTTAAAATACTTACTTTTCCTGTTTTTTGATGTTCCTTAAACGATTTAAGTAAACCTTGTGCCCATTCTACTTGACTGGATGTTGGTAAAAACGCATTTTGTACCACAGGAACCTGACCTGGGTGGATAACTTGTTTTCCAGTGAAACCCATATGTAAACCTTGCTCAGACTGTTTTTTTAAACCTTCTAAATCTAAAACACCGACAAAATAAGCAAAAATACACCTTAATAAATGAAAATGCACCTTTATATTTAATATAAACCATATCAATAGCCTGCAAGTTATAGGCTTTTGCAACCAAAACTAATTTTTGTCTAGCATATAAAGTTTCAGTGTTTTCTTCAGTTTTAATTGCCCCTATACTGGCCACAAAATCATCCCCACCATAAACCAAAGCACAAGGCCTAAACTTACTATTTTTTGACAAATCAACAGCTGTCTTACAAATACTGGGTAAATTAATGAATGACATAGCTGTTTCAATGTATATTATCAAATTTACACTATTATTACCACTAATTATGCTGGAAACTTTATCTGAAAACTTAAATTATTGTTTATACAGTATTTTTTAGCCAGTTAAATGTACTTTACCCATTTAATTTCATCACAATTCTGCACTTTTGGTAGTAGGACTGTATCAGGTAGATTCTTCGCTGTCAGTAAAGATTTTAAATCTTCTTCACATAAACCACTATCAATTGAGTTGGCTCTAACCCCCCAATCATATTTCCTGGATTTATTAGGCTTCCCCTTGTCTAAAATCCCCCGAATTGTCTCCCGGGCTACATCCTAAAAAAACAATTTTTAGCACGTAAAAATCGTTTTTTACGGTGTAATACTTTTTTATTTATTGCCACACCATCCTCACAATCCATTGCAACACAGTCAACATCTAAACTCTCGGTTTTTGTGATTTTTTTTACATCATCTCCAGGGACATACAGTAAGGCTCTTCTGGGGGTGTAAAAACGCCTAAAAGTCTACATAATTGATGGTAAATCATTATATCCACCCAATATATACCTCAAAGTTACTTGGGAGTCGTAAAAATTGTTTAAAAACAGAATTCATAATGTTTTGTTGTGAAACTTTGAACTTGTCAAGGTGACGATTACCAACTGTTGTGAATCAGTGGTTCATTCGAACTACTTTTGCATTTTAAAAGGTTTTTAAAGGATTTTTAAATGCTTTTTAAAGTGTTTTAAGCATATACCTATAATAGTTATAGGTATATGGTTTTAAGGCTTTTTTTTTAGTTGGTTGAGTTTTATTAAAGTTACGTTATTTTTAAGTTTGACAGGTTGGTAACGTGACAAAGTTTTTCAGACAAAGACGTCACAAGAGGTTACCTGTTGCTTATTGAAAGTTTTCGAGTTATTCGCACAAAGATTAGTTTTTTAATAATATAATATTGCCAATAAAACAAAGGATTGCGAAAAAGTGGCAAACATTTTTTGTACGTTTTCATATGAGTATGTTATTGTGATTGTTTTCCTTACAATAAAACGTAACATTTCGCAAATATGGACAAGTTGAAGAGAGTTTTAAACGGAAATGACTCCCCTGACGAAGAAAGCGGCATTATGTCACAGGTAAACATAATTTTGTACTATATTAAGATATCTACAAACATTTTTTTCAGTTAAACGACAGTGCCACTCTGAGTTGGTCCACTCGCCTCAAAGGCTTTCTGGCGTGTTTTATCATCGGTATATTGCTCTCATTTCTCGGTAGTTTTGCCTTATTCTTCGCCAAAGGATTAAAAACGTTTGCTATATTCTACACATTGGGAAACGTAGTGTCAATGGCAAGTACTTGTTTTTTAATGGGGCCATTCAACCAAATACAAAAAATGTTTGCATCCACAAGGGCTATAGCTACAATTATTGTCATAGCGTCGTTTATTTTGACTCTAGTGGCAGCTTTAGCCCTCAAAAACGCCTTATTGGCATTGATACTGATCATCATACAATCGCTGGCAATGACATGGTATTCATTGTCTTACATACCATATGCTAGGGATGCGGTTAGAAAAACCGTCATGACTTGTGTGGTTTGATAACCCTATACAAGATAATAAATTTATGTCTATTATATATACTGTGAGACTGTCAAAACTTATACATATAATTGTGCCTTTACAAATGCATTTTTTGTACATTAAGCTTCTAATTGTTATTTATTTTTACTCTTGTATTATTTAAGGCAAGTATTTTATTAATATACATGTATTTTTAGTAAAAAAACGACTTTTTTTTAAGTATAACCTTAAAATGTCAAATAAACTTCAAATTGACAGCTAAATGTCAAAAGACAAGGCCCTTGTCACAAGGGTGCTAGATAAAACCACAAAACTAGTTTTGTGGATAAAACAAACACAATTAATAATGAAAATATATTTATGAATTAACAAAATTAAAATAAACGCGTTAAATATTAAAAAACTTAAATAACATTCGGTATTTTTGGCGTTGATGGATAAAAAACGGGTTATATACAATGGCAATTTTACATATTTAATAATACTTATAAATCTTTGGAAACTACCAACTCCTCGACCCCTATACGGCCCCTGTGTCTCCAAGTTCGGTACCTAGCCAAATCTTTGCGCGTTACCATACCGATCACCTATAAAAATTGCAAAAAAAAATCACGGAGTAAAAAAAGTAGATGTGATACCATGTCGGTATGTAGGTGTAGTTCGTGTTTTGAGATGTAGATGGCGCTTACCTCGTTTACGTCGTTTACTATGGAAAGATGCCGCAAGCCGAGTGCTCGGAATAGACGGAACATTCTTGGCAGTGAACAAGACTAAAAAAATCATTATCAATAATAATAATAAAAAATATTGATGTATTTACGTGTAAAACTGTGTAAGGTGAGGGGTTCATGAAGGGTCTCAGGTCTATGGTGTACGTTTTTTCTTCTTCTTCTATGACAACTTGCTGAAATTATAGAATTGTATACAATGTTATTAAAGTAAGTTTTCGTCTTACATCTATCGTAGGATACCTAGGGTAATTATTTCTGAATATATCGGCATTAACGTTATCCCAATCGTCGCAGGTTTCGTTGAATAATTTGTTCTGCAGCACGCAAATCAATTGGGACCTCAAAATCAACCCCCTCAACTTCCCGTACGTGGTGACCTCGGACTAAAACAACACAACCTCAAAAACGCGACGTAACCTCAAAAAAACTTACCTGATCGGTTGTGGGCGGGTCCACGACGGGGAAGCCGTTGTACGTGGTTAACCTCAACAGTTCCACGATGTGGCCGACGTTTTCGACGGATTTCAGGGTGACCGCCGGGTGCGACATAACCTCACTAGCGTAGATGTTGTTGACTAGCGGTGGGGGTTCCCAGGGCAGCAACGGAACGCCCGAAAGTTGAATTAAAGTGTCGTAAATGCCCTCGTTGAAAAAGTCCCCGGTCCATTTCGCGGCAATTAGAGTGACTATGAGCGGCAGGGCGAATGAGATGTTGCCGGTTGTTTCCATGATTATCACGGTTAGACTTATCGTCATTCTGACAACACCGCCCAGTTGGGAAGCCGCCCCAATCAAAGCGTATTTTCCCGGATGTATAAGACTCTAAAAAACATCTTATTAAGTTTTTTTTTTTTTTTTTGCACGTATTTTCTCACCAAATCGGGGGAAACATAGAACAACCCGATAGAAACTAATCTGCCCCATGCCGCCCCAGTTAGAAGAGCCGGTATGAAAAGCCCATTCGAAGTTGCTAACCCGAAAGTCCAGCACGATAGTAAAAAGTAGAATATCACAAATACAGCCAATGAGACGGCGTTATGAGTGTTTGGTGGATCGTGAAATAGAGATCGCACAGAGGCCTCTGGCGTTTGAAACCAGATACTAGCTAAGACATTGTATTCGCCGTCTTGACAGTAGAGCTAAAAAGTTGCAGTCATATTTGACAGAATAAAAAACGCAATTTATTGAAATAAACGTTACAAAATTTAAATGTTTTTTTACCTGGGTGGGGAATTTTGTTGGATCTGCACCTAAGGGCCTGCAGTCATTTATGGTATACATCATTAGAAAACCAACTGTTGCACTTACTGCAGCCACTAGAAGGGCCTCCAAAACCCTTAACCATTTTGCCTGAATAAACCTTAAACAAAATTAATTGAATTGCTTTTGTGTTTCTTATGTTGGCAGCACGAAATATGAAATGCCAATTATAATATGAAATGCCAATTATAATTGAAGGGGTTAGAATAAAAAGGGTATAAGTAACATTTTCATTGTTTGGAGATATTGGAAAAAGTGAAGAATTTTGTTTAGCAATCTTTTTCTACTGGTTAATAGAGGTCGCTAGAAGTATGAAAATTACTTAAATCCTTTTCATTTCGATACGTTGGAACCTTATCTTTCACAAAACGAACTTATCTCCTAAATTAAAGAAATTGCACTTATACCCTTTCTATTCTAACCCCTTCAATTGTCATTTCAAAATTTTTGCTGCTAACTTAACAAACACAAAAATATGACAGTTTTAATTTAAAAACTTTAAAACCTTACTTTTTATGGTGTTATTAGTTTTTAATAACACTTTAATTTTTAAATAAAGTAGTAATCTGTTAATTAAAATACAAATTTTAATTTTTTCTACTGTCTTTATTTATCAAACTCTTCCAATGAAGATCAGAGATAAAGAAGGTTATGAAAGTTGACGAAGATATCATACTACCAGAGAAATAACCTATAATAATTTAATTTAACTTTAAAAGTAATTTTATTTAATTTACTTGCATTTATAGAAAAAGTAATATAATTTAATTTAACAAAAATAGTGTTTAAAATCAAAAGCAATATTTTAAAATTTAAAGAGAGTGCTTACTTCATGTACCTATCTAAAACTTAAAGTTTAATATACTAACCGTTTACACCAAAATAGGTTAAATTAGTACGAAATAACCTTGAAATAACGTAATTTAATTTAAAAGATAAAAGTTGGCCAACTATTAAATTAAGTCCTTAAATTTAATCACTGTATTACATTAAAATTACTTTTCTGTTAGAACCAGGCTTAACTACATTTATTAAGTGGTCAAAATTATATTAACAAAAAAAAATTGTATTGTTTTGAATTGCGTGCCAGATGTGAACCAAAAATGTCATTGTCAACTTTACAAGCAAAGAACTTTGTTGTTTGTTTTAAAAGTTTGTTTTGTGTGGTTTTTGCTCGGAAAGGAATAAAATACGTAGTTTTCAATAAAAAATACAATGGTGGTTTGCTATGCATTTGGTTGTTATATAACTTTTAAAAACTGTTGACACTTTGGTTCACATTTTGCAAATAACACTATCCAGATAAAATTCGCCCTGGCACAAATGATTTAAAACCTACCTCATTCTAAAAAACGGTCAATTTAAAGTTGACGTGGTTCCAAAAGGCCCCCAGTAATACCTCCAAAAGCCCCCATGAGTATAAAAATGGGAATCTCCCAAATCTGATACTTGAAATTCTCGAATTCGCCCAAATTTAACAACCCAGGGTAATTCAGATTTCCCGGAACTCCGTGATAAGCCGACAGCACGAAATTTAGCGTGGAAAGTGCTGACAACCGAGGCGAAAAAAAGTCCGCCATGTCAAACCTTGGTTCCAAAAACTGGTACCCTCCTCCAAAACTAAAAAGAACGCCGCCTAGAAACATAACATAACCACAAATTTTTAAGTGGATATTTTTTTGTTACCAACTGGCGCCCCGAAAGCAGCAGACACTCCTGCAGCCGCACCCCCGGAGACAAAATCCCTTTTTTCGTGGTCCCTCTCTGAAATAACTGAAAATCTTAAAATCCCTGTTGAAAGTTGTACTTTTTCCCTGCGATATGCCAGCAGCCACCACTGCACCAGAGTGAATCATGGGACCCTCCTTTCCCCCTGCCAACCCCTCCAACAACCGAACAAACCACACCAACGCTTTTTACGAACAAAGTTTTTATCCTCACAACTCTGGGAATCATCACCCCGTTTTAAATAACATTTGACCTTGGGGTATGCCGCTGCCGGCGGCTATGGGTTCGACGTAGGCAACCAGCATTGACCCTATAAACACTGGTATCACATTGTATAGTATCCATAGCAAGAAAGGAATGTATAATTTGCCCTGTGTTACATATGTATTTACACCTAAAATGAAAAAAAAAAAGATGCTTCAAACATAATTATATCCATCTTAAGTTGACATTCTTAAGAGAGTTATATCTAAAAACATATCTTGCTTAAACAAAAATCGTTCTTTTTAAGTAATTTCAACTACATTATATTTTAATTTATGCTTTTTAATAAGTTATTTTTAAGATAACAAAAATATGTCTAGATTTTTGGGTAATTTGTTTGCTTTTAGCAACCCATTAGTTTTATATTAGACTTTAAGTTCAAAAATGTTTATTGTCTATTTAGAAATATTATTGTGAAACTTACTTTTTGACAGAGCAGCATACTTAATTTCCGATAAAAATCTCTATGGATATGTCTATGGCACATGCAATTAAAGCTGTGAACATTCCTATTAATAAAAAAGTGAACCATCTTGCAATACTTTTTTTCACTATGAATTTGTACCCTTTTTTTCGTTCCTCATCCAATAATAAATGATTTTCGCATGTGTCATAATCTAAACTCTACAAACACTATAATCTCAACACTTTTTATTTTTTAATAATATCACATTACCTCATATTTTGCTGATAAAACATTCAATGAACCTATTTCAACTTTTTCCTCATTAACTTGTACTCTTCTACGAACAGTACTTAATAAATGTGGTTCGTCGCTTTGCGTTATTATGGTATTTAAATCGTCTGCAATTGCATTAACTGAAGGTAAATTCTACAACAAAATCATAATAAACACATTTTTTGTGAATTGTATTAAAATAAACTAACCCTAAATCTCCTAGCACGAATTTCCTCATTTTCCTCGTTCGTAGAGTTTATTGTGCCATCCATTTTGTTAATTCACACTTCCTTCCTGGTTATTTAAGCATTACGAAATTGATAACAATTCTGTGAATGTTATTGTTTTCATAATGACACATCGAAACAAGGTTAAAAATACGTCACAATCACATGGCTGTAGTTCAAATGTCCGGTTTTGCGACATCGTTTGAAGTTCTTAGAACAGGGTTGGATTAAGGAAAATTCAAAAAAAGTTGAGAAATGCTTTTATTATAATTAAAATTCACAATTTTTACAGTTTTAGTTCGGCAGGCATTGGTTTATCACTAAGAGCACATAAAATGTTATTGGCAGTTAGCAGAGCCATATTATTTCTTGTATTTATTGAGGCACCACATATCAGAGTGCGTGAGGTAAAATAACACAGTTTTTGAGCTTAAACAAAGGGTTATCTAGTGGAAGGGGTTCGGGAGTCATTACATCTAGCCCTGCCGCCCATATGGTTTTGCTTTCTAGTGCTCTAATTAGGGCTTCTTGGTCTACAGTACCCCCTCTGCTTGTGTTAATGAAAACCGCGGGTTTTCTTCATTTTCTTGAAAGCTGAGTCGTTGAATAGGTTTGTTGTTTCGGGGGTTAGGGCGCAGGTAACTATAACGAAATCGGATTGCTGTAGTAAATCGTCGAAAGGAACTTTTTTGGCACCCATCTGCTTTCCCTCCTTTTTCTCGGTCCTGCCATGGTACAATAACTGTTTCACGCCGAATGGTAGTATTCTTTTAGCCACTTCTTGTCCGATTCTGCCGAAACCCACAACACCAACAGTGGCGCCCTCCAAGCTGGGACCACACATCCAAAATGGCGCCCAGGCCTGCCAACCGCCATTTCTAGCCTCATCGCTGGCTTCCATGAGTCTTCTACTCGTAGCCAATAAGAGCCCCACGGTTAATTCTGCAGTGGCCACTGCTCAGAATGTCGGGGGTATACCCAATTTTAATGCCCCCTCTTTTTAATTTCATCCACACTTAAGTGGTCGTAGCCAACGGACATAGTGGAGATAACCTTAAGGTTACTTCCAGCCTTTACCAACACATCCCTATCGATTTTTATCTGTTAACATGCAGAATAAACCGTTTTTATCAACGATATTCTTCAAAAGCTCGTCGCGTGAGACTGGGCCCGTCCCTGTCCACGACGTCACGTGACATCTGTCAAAATAATAGGTTATCAATAAAAAGTTGGGTTATAAACCGTATTTTTTTTATTTTATCTTATTTTTCAACTTACTGTTCTGATAACAAGTCCATGGCTTCTTTGTTCACTTCCCTTGTGATGTAAATGCTTGGTTTCGCCATTTTGGTTGAATATTTCGAGGGATTTGGCAAAATGTGTCCGCTGGTTTTGTATATTGTCAATTTTTTCAAGAGAGTGACATTTGGTTTAGATATTTTGGTAAATGTGACGGTAAACATCATGAATGTGGATTATTATGTAAGAAAGATATAAAAACCGTTTAAAACACCAAAGGTCAGTACTTATCACATATAATTTGCATATAAGACCTACTTTTATATTGTGAGGTTATGTCGCTGCAATTATAAAGGTAAATAAAAGCAAAAATCGTATAAAAAAATTCAAATTTATTATTAGTATACCCCATAATTAACAACAAAGGTAATGCATAACAATTAATACTGTAAAAAATATAGAACACAAATTTAAAATAAATTATTTTGAAGCCAAGGCTTTAGCAGCCTTTACGGTGTTTGACATCAACATGGCGACCGTCATGGGGCCCACACCCCGCCTGGTACTGGGGTTATATGGCCTGCAACCTCACTTACACCTAAAAAATATATAAAATTTAGGAATATTGTTTTTTTTTTAAGTGTTGTACGAGTCTTACCATCAAAGTCAACATCCCCACTAATTTGTCCTTTCCATCGGCTGTTTTGATTCTAGTTATGCCTACATCAATTACGCATGCGCCAGGTTTTACCATATCAGGTTTGATCAGGTTTACAACGCCCTAAATTAAAAAAAAACGTAACTATGATTTCAGTTTTTGGGGGTTTTGTAACACACCTGTTGCAGTGATGATTATATCAGCCCTTTTGGCGAAAAAATACAAATCCTCCGGGGGAGTATGCCTGTGGCAAAGCGTAACAGTGGCTTCAAACCCTGGGTATTCATTTTTGGCGTCCCGAGTGTAATAAAAGGGCGATTGGTAGCCCCACATTTTTAGATCTGCCACAAATTACAACGTTTTTCCCGAAAGTTTCGATTTGCGATCTATAAAAAACCACGGAAATTCAAAAACCATAAAACATGACCCTAATAGTAAAACCTACCGTTTTATAAGCTCGACAACCCCCAAAGCAGTGGCGGGGATCAGGGTGTCCATGTTCAAGGTTAATTTACCCACGTTATTTACGTGGAAACCGTCGACGTCTTTTTTGGGGTCCACTGCATTGCATACATTTCTTTCGTTGACATTATCAGGGACAGGCAATTGTACTAAAATACCATCAACCGATGGATCTTTATTTAATAATTTCGACTTTACATATAATTTCTGCTTCCGTCATCGTGCTAGGCAATAATTCAGTCCTGCTGTTAATGCCTTAATAGTAAAAAAGTTTTAAATTAAAAAAACTTTGTATCCACCCCTACATTTAATTGGGAAAAATTAAGGTTAAAAGCGTTTGACAGATGTCAGATTGGTAAAAAGTTAAAACCATTGCAATAGAAAATGGACAATTCATATTATGTGAAAATTTTGATACTTTTCCTAATAACTAATCTAATTTAATTATCAAGTTTAATCAGCGGCGTCCGTAAAAAAAATTTGGTACGACAATAAATTGAATTGATCTAAAATAAAAATACTTACCGACGTTTCTGGCGGCCAGCATTTTGTTTTTGACATACTTCTCACTAGCCGGATCGTTTCCTACCAGTATGGCGACCAAGCTGGGGGCCCTATGGCCCAGGGCCATCCAGTCGTCAATTTCCCTACGCAACTCCTTTTGTATATCAAGGGAGATTTTTTTGCCATCTATTAAGGTAGGGTTGGGCCTGAAAAAATAATTTGTCAATAAAGAATTTTAATAATAAAAATGCAAAAATGTACCTCCAACGCATTGTTTTAATGTATTAAATAAACAAGTGTGTTAAGTTCAATACAATTTTGGTTTGAATACTGAATTTTAAGTAGGAAGTTTTTCTTTTATACTCAGATTCCAAATTGTCACAAATCTTGCGAAAGCATTGTTAAAAACATGATAAGACCAATACAGCGTCAAAAAGTGTTTCAAAATTATTTAGCAATACTGTTCCTTATAAATAAATGAAAAATATACAATAAACTTTACCTTTTTAACCCTTTTGCAGAATTACTAAAAAATCTAACAGCGATTTTGACGAACATTTCTAGCTTTTCTAGGAAATAAAATAGCAATTATTGTGGTAAATTTTTCTTTTTATTACCTGCATCGTCATAGTTTTTATCTATGCATGAATAATAACACTTAAATGCATTTTAAAAACGAGTTTGGCCCAAGAAAGTGTGGTTTTGACATTTCTATTGATAGGTTATGTCATCGCATATGTAAAATTATGTGCAAAAATCCTGCGTCTTGCAGGATTATCAAGGCTACCTGTTGATAAAACACAAAATGTGTAAAAATCCTGTTTAATTTCATAATAAATCGTAAAATTCCACTTTCAATTTATATATACTATTAATTTGTTATCTTTTATGTTCTACTAATTGATTTAGTAATAATAATAATAAACCTTGCAGGAGGCACATTTATCGTAAAATACGTCATATTCTTTGTTTTTAATGTTTAACGGTAATCAGTAAAACGTCATAAAAGAGCTAAAATTACAAAATAATTATTTTGAAATTCTTTCTTATTTTTCCCTCAACTTGTTTTCATTAATTATATATTTTCACAACAACCAAAAAATCGTAAACATATAACTTACATTTCGTGATAAAGGGCCTAGGTATGGAACCACGTGGAATGCCGCACCTAATTGATTGATATTTCTTGATTAGAATGTAGGAAATGGGAAAAATTATTCTCAGCAGGAATTAAGACAAAAAAAGTGTTGAATATCGTAAAAAAATTATAAATTTTAATGAAAAACGAACATATTTATTACCCTAAAATCACATAAAAATTATAAATGAGATTTATTTTTTGATTAATTTTACATTCATTTCTAAATTGCCTTTTTACAATTTAAAAAAGGCAACCCCAAACATCTATGTGTAATCTTGGTTGCCTAAATTTATTAACTATTTACTTATATTTTAATCTTTTGAATACATTTTCTTATTAAGTGCGATATTTTGATGAGGTTTCTTTATAAATGTTTGTTAAATATGGATTTAGCAACACATTATTTATAGAAAACAGTCAGCATAAAAATTGTGCGACATCTATGGTGTAGTTGCTGTACTAACAAGCTTTTTAGTTTATCTTGTGTTAGTAGATGTCAGCAGTGATTTAAAATTTAAATTTTGCGAATTTTTGTGGTAAATAGGTCTAAAAGTACTTTTAATTATAATAAAATCACAACAATTACATTTTTTTATGTAAAAAGGATAATTTTTTTATATTACATTATATTAATTATAATAAACATCAATTAATATTAATAAAAGAAAAGAAAGTGCACTAATAGCTCTTTTGTCTTTATTAAAGCAAACCGTTTATTGCTACTAACACAATCTTAATTACCTTTACATCGTAATAACTACATAGTGAAATAAATATTTAAAGATACATATTTTGGAAATATTTTTTTGCATTTTGTTAAGTATGTTAAATTGGAGGTCTGTAACTGTACATGCAAGTCGACAAACTGCATTTCGGCCTTTCTTGAATTCTTGGAAACAATTTAATTGCGTTGCTGTGTTGCCATATTTACTAAAAATACCCAACTTAAAGACTTATAAAATAAAAGGGGTTTTAGCTGTAGTTTTACACAAAAATGTGTTAAAATGATAAATTTCAAAATTGTTACATACATTTAACAAGATAAAACATATAAAACCGTATATTTTAAACTCAAAAAAATTCCTGCTACTTAGATTTGGCAACAGAGCGGCGGTCTGAGACCCAGTGCTTGAATTGTCGGCATCTCCAGCAGCAGCTGTGAATTTTTCAGCCAGTCGAAGACTTGCAGTTAACAGAGCAGGGCACTCCTGCTGGTTTACGTTTTATTGAACGCGATATTTCGCAGCAGGAATTTAAAACTGTCGCGCACGTGTTTCGGTGTTGTAGATGCGCGCTCCAGAGAACGAAGGGATTTTGTTTTAGTGGGGCTTGCAGGAACTGTAGTTCAGCAGGATTTTTGATTTGTTGTTATTTTTAAAGGTATGACAAATTTGTTGTTTATTTGCAGGAATTTTAAGTGTTTGCAGGATATATTTAGGTAGCAGGAAAATGAATTTAGTGAATCATTCAGCGACTTAAAATATTCTGAGTAATGTACAAAGTGACTTATTCACAGCGTGTTTAGCACACCCTTATTTGAGGTGTGACTTGTTATTCAAAATCATATTTTTTTTTATATCACAATGACAATATTTGTTTTCTTATTATCACAAAGTTTTAAAATTTAAGATAAAAATTAAGTAAACAAACTAAACTAAAATTTGCACTGTAGTTAAAAGTATAAACAAAATGGGTTTCAGATATAAAATAAATGACTTGATATCGTACTTTTCTTGTTTCCTGTATTTATGTTATAGGAAATACCGAGGGAAATACATAGGCCGACAAAGGAAAACCTTGCTTTTTTATTTTATTTTCTCGTAAAAAAATTGTAAACAAAAAATGTAGGAAATACCGAGGGAAATACATAGGCCGACAAAGGAAAACCTTGCTTTTTTATTTTATTTTCTCGTAAAAAAATTGTAAACAAAAAATGTAGGGGGCATTTTTTTCTATAATTTATGTCATTGAATCGATGCTAAGACGAAAAAGCGTTTTATGACATTTTAAACCAAAAATTTTTATTTTAACGCTGCACTGTAATTGGGAAAGTTGTTCATCTTGAGTTATAGAACAAAAAAGTTCTTGGATTTTATTTTACGAATACAAAAAATATTCTCTTGTAAAATCATGTCTACGCCTCTGTTTGGCGCCTGTGTGGCCTTATATTTACAAACACCGTACATGCTTGGATTATAAATTAACCCCTCACCGATATTCATTTTTCAAATGTATGGGTTGTTCAACTTATATTTTGTTTAATGTGTGCATTCCAGTCTAAATATAGATTTTGATTTTAAACACTCCCTTAAATCTAAATAAAAATTGTTTGTGTTAAGAATGTTTGTAGTGAGATTTTTATCATAATGTGCATTTTTTACATGTTAAGTTAAGTCAAGTATAACAATGTTACCTTTTTCACTTAACGGCACTTATTTTATCTAAATAGTTAAGTGATATTTATAACTTTCAAGCTATACTAGGGGAGATAGTCCAAATAACATTTAGGTATACTGTGTTTAAATTTACGTTATGTGTATTAGAGTGGAATTTTATAAATGAGCCTACGTTTTATTGATTTTGATTTTAAATAACTAAGATGCCATGGCATTAAACACAGATTATAAAGGCATTCAATCTAATCAAGTACGTTTTGTTTGAACTACATCTGTAGGTTAAACCAGTAGGTATTAAATTAAAATTAAAATTTATACCGAATCAAGATTATTAATACTTGAGTGTCAAAAATCGTTCTTCCTGATCATTTAATTAATTATAAGGCTCATTTAACATAATTTAACAAAATGTTAAATGGTACAGTGTAGGTACCTAAGTTGCGATACTTTCTTTCTTTCACGCCTTTTGATTTTTGTATGCATTACATAAAAAAGTGTTTGCACATCACATACATGTATATTAACAATAGTGCGGACCAAATTAAATAATAGTAACATAACTTTTACTTAATTATTCGCATAGGTACATTTTACAAGCAGAAACAGAAAGAAAGCTCATAAATTATACATTAGATTTTGTTTAGAATTGTTTTAACCATTTAATTGCAGTTTTACCAATCAATTGCATTTTTTTGACATGCACATTTACTTAGGTTCTAGATATACAAGGTGTTCTCGAAATGACTGTACAATAACTTTGGGAAAAACAAACGGTTTATATTATTGCATTATTTTGGTAGCTGGTATTATTTAAAACAGGCATCTCAGAAATACCTTGTATATTACTTGACAGCAGTTTATAATGACATGTTTATAAATACATTTACTTTAAAATTACATGTAATTAAAGGAAAATTCACAAGCTTAACACTCGACTAACTTTCTTAGCAAAAATACATGAAATGTCAAAATTGTAAAGTTAATTAATTTTATAAAAAAGCGTGTAATTATTTGGAAAGCATTTTGTTATATTTGCCTTTATTTGTGCTCATATCATTTATAGTTAGTTTGTATACATTTTCTACTTAAGCAGGACAATTTTTATCGTTTACAATAATTATTAAAAAAGTATATCACAAAGCTGTTTAACTACATAGACTACTTTTCAAAAGTAGAGCACCAGATAAAAATACCGTTATTGTAATACAGGGTGATTCATAAATACAACGAAATTTTGGAATACATTAAAAAAAAGAAAAAGCATTTTTTTACTTTCCAAGTGATCTTTTAAATGCACATTAGTCACAGGCTAAAGTTAGCTTTAAGTTGGGTGACAATTGTAAAATGTCATACAATCTGTCAAATGTCATACAATCGTCAAAATAAAGCGACTAAAAAGTGAGTTTAGAACATTCTGACAGATTTTATATTTATTTATTTTTGAAAGTTATTCAACTTAAGTGTTGGTCGTAGATTCGTTTTATAAACTTGTATTTCCTTACAGGGTTTAATTACAATAATAATAATAATTATAAAATTGATTTACTTTACCACTGACGTCATTACTACCTTCATGTAGCACATTTCCTGACCAATAAACTTCCGTATGTTTGGAATTTTTTTCAATTATTGCAACCTTCATTTAATACCAAGTACCTACTTATTTCAAATTATTTCTTAAGCATTGGTAATTATCCACACTATTTTTTTTAAATAAATTGATTACATCATCTGGCAAATATAAATTTAACAATCTTCGTTGTCCATATGCTTCATTTTGTTTATTAAAAATGTTTATTTTGTTTCTCTTTTAATTTAACAAGTGCATTTTCTATTGTCCTTTTGTGCTCTTTTGAACTAGTCTTTATACCAGGGTGTCCTCATTTTTTGCTATAGAGACAATTTTAAGATGTCAAAAACATATTTTTCTACTACCACCTTTAAAACGCCCTTTATCGTACATGATTCCATGACACTAAGTGACCTTTTAAATACACATTGACAAGTTGTGCCTTTATGGTGCTTTAGTCACGGGCTGAAGTTAGCAACAGGTCACGGGCTGAAGTTAGCTTTAAGTTAGTTGACAGTTGTAAAATGTCATACAATCGTTAAAATAAAGTGCCTTTCTTATAAAATAATACTAAATGTGAAAATTATTTTATTATCTCAATACAAAAGTATTAAATAGTTTCTCAACGCCAATATTTGAAAAGTTTATATGAACATTGTACTGACCTTTTAATTTCGCCGGCAGTAAACTATAACTTAAATTCGGGCACGGACTCCACTGTAAAGTGCTCATAAAACATTTTCTTTACTTTCACTGTGAAAAACTGTCAATTTTCAAAAAACAACAATGTGACATTTGACGGTGACACACAGATTCCCCTATTGTTTCATAGATGGCGCTCTATACAAATTTTTAATTTAAATCTTTTTAAGATAATAAGTATTTTGTCGTAGAAAAAGTATAGTATGCACCTCGTTTATAAACTTTAATATACACTCATTAATTTAAGCACTCGCTCGCAAGCTCGCTCGTGCCTAAATTAAATTCGTGTATAAAATGACGTTTATCAAACTTAATGTAAAAATGCATTCGAATAATATGGAACGCCGTTTTATCATTTAATCAACCAGTTTAAAAGTAACCAAAAAATTCAACTAACTTGTAAATTCGCGTTATTTCATTGTTTGAAATTCATGCTAGATGCAAAAGTAATTTCAAAGTTTGAAATTCGCTGTATTAAAATGTTTGAATTAAACTGTTTGGTAAAGAAAATTAAACACTAATTTTAATGTTTGAAATTAACAGCGTCAATTTCAATCAATAAAATTTATTTATGCGGATTGGTTTATTTAAATATGGTTTCAGATGTTCGACCAATGGCAACTGAGTTTTGAGCATTTTAACTTAAAAAAAAACGTTTTTTATACTCCCTAGTTTCTTTTATTAACAAGTCTTATATATTGGACGAATTTGAATGAATGAAATAACAGTTGTCGTTAAAACTATTAATGAAAATACCGGTGTATCCCGCATTAATTTCAAACATTTAAATTCATTTAATTTAAAAGTTTCTTTTAAACGAAGTAAGCGTAGTATTTTTAATAATTGTAATTACTAATTCCGCACAAAGATAAAAATGAATTGTTCATGTAAATTTGTTTTATTTTATTGTTTGAAATTTATGCTAGATGCAAAGGTAATTTTAAAGTAAGAAATTCGCTGTATTTCAATGTTTGAATTAAAATATTTGGCAAAGAAAACTATCCACTAATTTTAATGTTTAAAATTAACAGAGTCTATTTCAATCATTAAAATTCACTTACGTTATTTCATTGAATGATTTGAATTAACCATTCCTAATTTTAAAGAATAAAAAACAAAAATTGTGTTTGCGTTCTCCATTTTTTAAAAATTAGCAAGTTGAATTTCTTTCATTGAAATTCCGAATTGCATTCAATCAAATTTCATTGAATTGAATGCACAATTTCATTGAATGAAATACATAATTTCATTGAATGAAATTCGTAATTTCATTGAATGAAATTACGAATTTTATTCAATGAAATTATGGATTTCATTCAATGAAATTGTGCATTCCATTCAATGAAATTACGAATTTCATTCAATGAAATTATGTATTTCATTCAATGAAATTGGGCATTTCATTGAATGAAATTACGAATTTCATTCAATGAAATTATGTATTTCATTCAATGAAATTGGGCATTTCATTGAATGAAATTACGAATTTCATAATTTCATTGAATGAAATTACGAATTTCATTCAATGAAATTATGTATTTCATTCAATGAAATTATGAATTCCATTCAATGAAATTGTGCAATCCATTCAATGAAATTACGAATTTCATTCAATGAAATTATGAATTTCATTCAATGAAATTCTGCATTCCATTCAATGAAATTACGAATTTCATTCAATGAAATTATGTATTTCATTCAATGAAATTATG